TTTGGTATGCAAAAGATTTTTATAAGATATCCCAGTTGTTGATTCTTTGAAGTATTTCCTGTGTGATCTGGGTTTTGTTCACGAACTCTCTGCCAACATACTCATGAACTGAGGAATGGATTAAAAAAATGTGGTTAGGGGCTGGGGATATAGCTCAGTGGCACGAGTGCTTACATGGCAAGCGCGAGGTCATGAGTTCAATCCCCAGCACCAAAAGAAAAAGAAAAAACATGTGGTCTTTTTATGCAATCGAATTCTATTCAGCCATAAAGAATGATAAACTGGAGACTTTTACGGGCAAATGCATGCAACCAGAGATCATACTTTAAGTGGAATAAAGTGTAAACATCTTATTGTCCCCCTGGTGTGAGAAACAGAAAGAGTAATTAAGGTCCAAAATGTACAACAGTATTGTGAAACGGGAAGAAATTGTTCAAAGGGGAAAAGGTACTAGGATGGAAGGAAGGGAAAAGGAAAAACACAATACTAGACAGTTACGCCACTAGTTTCTCTTAGTTCATTATCATTGAGAAGAAACATTTTATGCTAATACCATCTGGAGAATTTTTTATATCTTATATTGTGAGTATTTTAAAAATAACAATACTCTATGTATTAACTATCATTATTCTCCTATTATTATGAAATTTTGTTTTACATTTTTTCCATAAAAAATTTTTTTATAGAAATAAGATCCAACAATATGCTGCACACAAGAAGATTTAAAAGGAAATTCCTAGGCTGGAAGTCAAAGAATGGAAAACAATACTCCATGAGACAGGAACCTGGAAAAAAGCAGGGTAGCTATTCTACTTGCAGACAAAGTGGATTTAAGGCCAAGAGTGATCAGAAGAGACAAAGAAGGTCATTACATACTTTTTTAGCTTTTTTTGGGGGGGGGGCTTTTTCCTTTTCATCGGTACTGGGGATCGAACTCACAACTGCCTGCTTGCAAGGCAGGTGCTTATGCCACTAAGCTAAATCCCCAGCCCCCACAGTCATCTCAATAGATGCAGAAAAAGCACCTAACAAAGTCTGACATCCATTCATGATAAAATCATAAAGAAAATTGGAATAGATGGTCTTTTATCTCAACATGATAAAAGCCATCTGAGACAAACCAACAGCCAGAATTACAATAAATGGTCAAAACCTGAAAACTTTCACTCTAAAATCAGGGTCCAGGCAGGATGCCCACTATCACCACTCCTGCTTAATATAGTTCTGGAAACATCTGCCAGAGCAATTAGATAAGAGAAAAAAATAAAAAGAATGAGAATAGGAAAGGAATAAATTACATCATCATTATTCGTGGATGACATGATGCTCTCCATAGAAGATCCCAAAAACTCCACTGAAAGATTTCTAAACTTAATAACCAAATTCAGTAGTGTAGCTGGATATAAACACTCAATAATCAATAGCATTCCTGTACATAAACAACAAACTCACTGAGAGAAAAGCTAGGGAAACAACACCTTTACAATAGTATCCGGAAAAATGAAACACTTAAGAATCAATTTAACAAAGGAAGTAAAAGATCTATACATTGAAAACTACAGTACTCTCAAGAAGGAGATTGAAGAGGATAATCAGAAAATGGAAAGATAGCCCTTGTTCTTGGACAGGCAAAGCCAAGATAGTGAAAATGGTCATACTTGCAAAACTCTTATATAGATTTATTATAATCCCAGTCAAAATACCAATAGCATTCCTCACAGAACTACAGAAAAAAGTCCTGAAATTCATATGGAATTAGAAGAAGCCTAGAATAGCAAAATCAATTCTAAGCAACAAGGGCAAGGCAGGAGAACATCACAACCCCAAAGGTGAAATTTAAAAACTACCAAGAAATAAAAGCCCAGGTCCTGAAAGATTCACTGCTGAATTCTATAAGAACATAAAAGAACATCTCACTCCAGAGGCCTTCTATAAGCAAGGCCACCATGATAAAACAAACAAAAAACAGCATAGTACTGGCAAGAAAATAGACCTAACGATCAATGCAACAGAGTAGAAGACGCAGAAACAACTCCAAACACATTCAGCTACCTTATCTTTGACAAAGGGGTCAAAGAGCTTCACTGGGAAAATAAATGATGGCAGAAAAAATGGGTTTCCACATGTTGAAAATTGAATCCCTAGACCCATATCTCTTATCATGCACTAAACTAAAATCGAAATGGATCAAAGATCTAAATACAAAAATGGAAACATTTAATCTGCTGGAAGACAAAATAGGTAAAACTCTTGAAGACACAGGCAAAGACTTCATTAACAAAACCCCAAATGTACTGGAAAATGTTACAAAGAATCAACAACTGGGATCACATCAAATTAAAAAGGTTTTTTTTTTTTTGTTTATTTGTTGCATAACAAAAGAAATAATCAGAGTGAAGAGACAACCCACAGAATGGGAAAATTTTTACTAGGTACCCTTCAAAGAACTAACATTTGCAGCAGTGGTGGTGAACCTACAGCACATGTGTTATTGTATTTTTCTTTTATGACAAAATATTTTAATGTATGAGTTTTTTTTCTAAATTAAAACTTCAGTATTCAGGTTTAACTTCAATACTGGAACATTGTGATAAATACATGGATTTTGCATTGTATTTCGGGCACTCAATCTATAAAGTTTTGCCATCATTCCTCTAGAATATATAGAGAACTCAAAAAATCAAACCTTCCAAACTTAAAAACCTAATCCTAAAATGGGGATCTGAAATGAATACATACGTCTCAGATGAAGAAGCACAGACAGCAAATAAACACATAAAAAATGTTCAACATCCTTGGTCACTCGTGAAATGCAAATTAAAACATCTCTGAGGTTTCATCTCACTCCAGAAAGAATGGCCATAATCAACAAATCAACCAATAACAAATGCTGACAGGGATGTGGTGATAAATGAGCCCTTCTCCACTGTTGGTGAGAGTGTAGACTGGTGCAACCACTATGGAAATCAGTGTGGGATTCCTCCAAATACTAAAGCTAAGGGTTCTATTTGACCCAGCTATTTCCCTTCTAGGTGTCTTCCCAAAAGAGTTAAAAACATCATACCACAGAGCTATATGCCTACTTTTGTTTATAGCAGCCCAGTTTACAACAGCTAAATCTCAGAAATGGATAAAGAAAATGTGGTATTTATATACAGTGGAGTACTAATGTACTCTGCCATAAAGAAGGATATTTGAGTCATTTTTAGATAAATGAATGCACTTCAAGGCTATGATTTTAAGTGCAATAAATCTTTTTTAAAAAGAGTGCATTGAATATAATTGTCAGGCTTAGAGGTGACATGGTAAGGTGAGGTCACTTTGGAAAATATGAACTCTCCGGAGGCAGATATCCAAGAGGTAGCAGATGGGTAATGAGGAGAGTTGATATATTGAAATCAGAGCAGGGAGGAACTCCCCAGGGAAAGAAGAAAGAGAAAAGAGCAGCTCGAAGGGTAGGTCAAACCTCAGAGGGAGCCAGACTATTCCTTGGGTTACCAGGAGCTCTTTGCTTCTGGCCTTTGGGCTCTGTGAGATACCCTGGTGTCCTTGTGATAAATTCTCCTTGAAAGCCGGACATAGTAGCACATACCTGTAATCTCAGCACTGGGGAGGCTGAGGCAGGAGGTTCACCATGAGTCTGAAGCCAGCCTAGGCAACATAGTAAGTTCCAGACCAACTTGGGTTACATAGTGAGACCCTGTCTCAATCTTTTAAAAATTCCCTCAAGGCTTACTCTAGCTAAGGGCAGTTCAGTTGCCATCAGAAGGGTCTCATGTAACATATCATCCCCTCATGAGACCCAGTCACCCAACATAGTCATCGGGTGTCTATTCATTCAGGCATTTAATGCTGGACACCTCCTAGCTCCTCCTTCACCTTTCCCACCCCCACCCTCAGCCCTGCTCAGGTTTACACTGCTCCTCACAGATGTCCCTACGTCTTCCCTCACCCCTGCTAGACCACTTGCCACCGAGGAGTGTAAGCAGCTCCTAAAGCTTTAGTCTGGTTATTTCCCTTTCCTGACTAAAAACTGTGTGCTGAAACTGTGTGCTGAAATATCTCAGCATGGACTGAAAATGCATAATGGAAATTACTTGCTTTTTCAGAAAACAGAAAAAAGCATCCCTCCTTACCCTCAGGACAGAGTGCAACCTCTTTCCTGGTCTTTGAGGCCCTCCTTCACTTGGCCTTCTGTGACACCTTTAACCTGGTTCTCTACCACCCCTGCTTGGCTTCTCCAGTACAGAACGAAGTTCCGTGTGGGGCTTTGCTCTTTCCCCTTGACTTGGGCCACCCTTCTCCTGGTTGCCTGCTCTTCAAGGCTCAGCTCAGGGTGGCCCCTTCAGGAAGCCCTCTGACTCCCCAGGGCTTGCCCACCACTCTGTGCTGTCGGGTGTCACTGCCCTTATGTGTGGCCCATCTCCCCTCCTGGCTATGAATGCTATGAGACCAGGGACCATGTATGACTCCATTCTATGTCCTCAGGGCTCAGCCAAGGCCAGGCACAGATGAGACCCCCAGAATGTTTTGCAGGACTTTGACAGGCTTTCTGGACACAACTGACACAAGACACACCCCTGCAAGGCAGGTGGGTTGCTGACCCCACGCAGTGTCAGGGGTAGGAAGACAAAAAGTGGGGGCAGAGTGACGAAGGCCGGGGTGGGAATCGAGGAAGTAGAGAAAAGGTAATCCCTTTCATAGCCAAGGCTGCTGCCCTTTCTCTGTCCTTCCTCTCATTTTATTCAGAGCAATTCTCTTGTCATTTCTCCTCTTCCAGGCCCTTGCTGAACCAGGCCTCTCTTGAGAATGTGACTCTGAATCTCCCCAATAGCCCCGAAATTTCCCAGGTCCCCAAACATTTCTGGGTGTCCCAAACCTCTCCATCAAATATTAAACTTTCCCTTATGACTCCTAAAGGTCCATTAAGTCTCCCAAATTTCAGCTCAAAAAACTCTTTCCCTGCCCCTCGCCCAGGAGGAGGTTGGCAAGCCCCTTACCTAGGCCTTCTGCAGGGTGGTGTTGGGCTCTTGCAATGGTCACCAGTGCAGGGGGAGGACAGCTTTCTCCTTTATATTGTCAACTCTCCACCCCTAGTAGCTCCCCCACACAGCTGCTCAGAAATGTGACACTCCCCCATCTATTTCTGGATGTTGTCAAGACTCAGGAGCACTAGCCTCTCTGCCCAGTCTGACCTGGGCGTATGCTCTTCCTATGAAAAAAGAAAAGTCCCTATTGCCTGTGGGAAGGTGGGCTGAGGCATAGAGGATCCCAGCTGGGACAACTGCCTTCTCCCTGAATTGGGTCCTCCCTCTGATCAGCCCCGGAGAGGAAAGAGAGGTGGTGGCAGCATCCCTGGCCCTAGGGCCATGTCCTTACATTTTGTTTCTTTCTTGTGAACACTGAGACTCACTTGAGGTACAAGGAGAGATCTGCACCGAGGAGCCTGGACTCTGTTTCTTGGTTCCAGCCATGTCTTGCCTGTGCCCCTGCCTAGGGACTTATTTGCCTCTATCACTTGGGGCCCTGTGAGAGTTCCAGGTTCTAGGACAGGAGAAGCAATCTCCAGAGCTGGAGGGCAGAGAGAGGACAAAGCAGAGGTCCCAGTAAGACTGGCTCCAGGGGCTGCCCCAGCCATCCCAGCTGTCCCCTCACAGCATCTCCTCTCCCGGCAACCCCAAACACTCAGGTCCCTCCAGGGGGAGGGATAGGCAGGGTGTGTAGGCAAGGCGCTGTGTTTCCCAAGAACTGTCAACAGTGGAGTGAGTCCTGATTTTCTAATCAAGGAGGACCCTGGGCTGGCCAGTCTTCAGTGGAGGGGGGTAAAAGAACTTGACTTAAAGCTGTTTCCCACTAAGCACTCCGTGGGAATGCCACTCTTTCCAGCATCCCCCTCATTTTCTCTTGGACACATTTCCTCTCCTCCTTTGGTCTTCAGAAAGAATTTTGGAGGGGAAAAAGAACAACAACAAAGCATTCTGGGCGAAGGAAACTTTATTTGGCTGATAATCAGAGGAGCGGGGGACAGGGATGGGATAAATTAATGAGCCAGACCACGACGGGGTCTTTGGATAGGTCAAACCTGCCCGGCCACGCTCGCCCCAGCAGGCAGCATCTCCCAGAGCCTGACTTTCAGGAGCCCTCCTGCTCCGCGGCTTTGAAGGGCACCCCTCCTCCAGGCTCAGGCTGACTGGAAGCTCCTCTCTGCGCCACCTACTGATTCTGCAGCTGGCCCCTTCTCCTGTTACCCCTAATTGGGCAACCAAAACTCACAGCCAGGTTATTTATGGACTGGCCCAGGGGAGCGGGGAGAGGAAGCTACTGTTTACAAACATGAGGTCACCAGAGTCGCAGATCAAAGCAAGAAGGTCTGGGGAAGGGGCTGGGATGGGCCCGAGACCCCAGACGAGAACTCTGCCCCTGACTCACCTCTGCCGGGGGAAGGAGGATAAAGAGGAGACAGGGGAGCGGGGGCTGTCCAGATGCGCGGCACTTGACTAGCGGGCCACATGCAGATCGCATGCAAATCAGCGAGCGCACGCGTGGCCCCCTCGTGGCAAGCGGTAGCTCCGCGGGGCGACCCTCGCGCGGCTGCCCGGCCGGGTGGTCTGGGGCCGGGCGGGCCAGGCCAGGGCCCCGCGGAGGCGGAGTCTCACGAGTTCCTTTCCCAGCCTGGCCTCGCAGGGCCCCGGAGGGTCCTGGGGAGGAGCCCACCGTCCCAGCGGGGGAGTTTCGCGCTCAGCCCCTCACTCCGCCACTCCCGCTCCGCACGCCCCCGTCTGTTGTTGGGCAGCGGTGTCGGGTTACCGCCCAGGGGCTATAGTTAGCCGTGGGGACTTTGTGTGGCAATCCGCGGAGAGCGCCGGCCCGCCGGACTCTACCCTCCGCCTGCCGCAAGCACCAGCGCTCCTTCCCGCTCAGCTCCGCAACCTCCAGGTGAGTCCTCGGGCTCGGGCCCGCTTTCCAGCGGAGTCCTACGACGCCCCTCTTTACCGTCCCCAAAGAGTCCCGGGGTCGGAGATTCTGAGTCTGGGGGCGTCTGCGGGCCAGGGGAGCCGAAAGTCCGCCTTGTGCTTAGGACGGTAAAACCCAAGGCCCCGCCCACCACAGGCTACGCTCCGGCCACGCCCACTCAGCCCGCTTCCTGCGGACCCGGACCCAGGACCCCTGAAGTGGTAGGAAGAAGGGTGCTGGAGCCCATCAAGCCGGGACTCCACCTTCACTAGGACCTCACCGTGCAAGACTTCTCCAGGGAGGATGCTGGAGGCTCTGTTGATCGTCCTCAGCTGCTTTGGCCTCCAAATCCTCTGGCAGGTAACTCCGGGAACCATCCCTTGCCACCAAAGGGATTGTTGGGGGCAGATCCTGAGGAGGTGGCCTGGGGAGTGACTGCTCTGTGACTCCCTTCCACCAAGTCCTCTTCCTCTCTGGAACTGCCATGCCTGAGAAACCTCAAGTTCCCACTCCTTGTCCCAGAACCATGACAGCCACAGCTCATGCGAGCCTATCTCCTTCATCAGCCCTCTCTGTCCTCTTCCATTACAGGCTCAGCCCACTCAAGCCCCTTTGGTTACCCCATCCATCCCCAAGCTTGGGAAAAAGGCTTGTTTTGTTTTGGTTTTTGTTTGGTTTTTTTTTGAGACAGGGTCTCACTATTTAGTTCACACTTGCCTTGAACTTACTATGTAGTTCAAGCTGGCCTCAAACTTGTGGCTATTCTCTTGCCTCAGCCTCCAGAGTGCTGGGATTATGAGCATGTGCCACCATGCCAAGCAGGATAAAGGCTTCTGTGTGAAGCATAGGAAAATTCAGAAACCTCAGAGCTGACAGTGGTTTGGAGTAGTGGTTGAGCACTCACAAAGGCTTCCCAGTGGGGCCGAGCAGTTGGACACTGGACACTGACTTTGTGTTTATCATCGGTGGACTGAATCTTAGAGCCAGAAAGTGCCTGGAGCCCTCTAGCCCCACCTTCCCACTGGCGCAGAAACGTTTCAAACATGACACTTATTAGATTGTGCAAAAGTGACCTTCATGCTATCCTCACAATATCCCTGGGAGGTTGGAAGTATCTTCATTTACAGGTAGAGAATCTGAAGCTCAGAAAAGTTGAGGCTTGCCAAGATCCCACAGCTATTAGGTGATGTTTGGATCCATGTCAGTCCAACTCCAGAGCCTGTGTTGTTCTTAGGACCTTGCCAGGTTGCATACACCAGATGCTTGGGCAGAGAAATGAGATTCTGGACTGGGCACAGTGGCACACACCTATAATTCCAGCCACTTGAGAGCTTGAGGCAGGAGAATTACAAGTTCAAGGCCAGCCTGAGCAATTTATCCAGGCCATGTCTCAAATAAAAACTAACAAGGGCTGTGATATAGCTCAGCAGGAGATTGCTCTCCTAGCATTTGCAAGAAGGCTCCTGTTCAGTCCCCCAGACTGCCAAAAAAAGAGAGAGAGAGAGAAAGGAAGGAGATTCTGTGTTCCTGAGCTGGCCTGCCACCAGGACCCTTGTCTAGTGCTATGAACTTACATTCTTTCCTGTTGTGGCTCCTCTCTTCCTTACACCCATAGGCCCAGGCTGTTCCTATCCTGCCCCTGGGCCTGGCTCCAGACACTTTCGATGATGCCTATGTGGGCTGCTTGGAGGTCATGGAAGAAAAGGCAGCTGCCCTGCTAAAAGAGGAGATGGCCCACCATGCCTTGCTGCGGGAGTCCTGGGAGGCAGCCCAGGAGGCCTGGGAGCACCGGCGTCGAGAGCTCACTCTGCCCCCTGGCTTCAAAGCCCAGCACGCAATAGCCATTATGGTCTATACCAACTCATCTAACACCTTGTACTGGGAGCTAAACCAGGCTGTGCGCACGGGCGGTGGCTCCCGGGAGCACTACATGAGGCACTTCCCCTTCAAGGCCCTGCATTTCTACCTGACCCAAGCCCTGCAGCTGCTTCGCGGCAGCGAAGGCTGCAGCAGGGAACCTGGGGCAGTGGTGTTTCGAGGCGTGGGCAGCCTTCAGTTTGAACCCAAGAGGCTTGGGGACTTGGTCCGCTTTGGCCAGTTTGCTTCCAGCTCCCTGGATGAGGCAGTGGCGCGCAGGTTTGGTAATGCCACCTTCTTCTCTCTAAGGACTTGCTTTGGGGCCTCTATCCAGGCCTTGTCTGTCTTCCCTGAGGAGCGCGAAGTGCTGATTCCCCCCCATGAAGTCTTCTTGGTCACTGGGTTCTCCCAGGATGGAGCCCGGAATGAAGTGACTCTCTGGAGCTATAATCAGACCTGCAGCCACTTTAACTGCGCATATCTGGGTGGTGAGCTGTGCATGGGGGATGTGGGATTTGTAGGGTGGATAAACTAAACCAGGATGTCCCCACATGGTCCCCAGAGCCTTCACAGACCCACTTGATTAAAGGTGAAAGTTGGAGGCTAGGAGTGAGCTGCAGTTGTCGTCTGAGAATCAGAGTCTACCAGGTCCTGTAAGCGTTTTTCTAGATCTGTGAATATTCTCAGATGAGCCTGTATGTTCTCAGAAAGTTCCACCTGTTCTACCAAAGAAGCCTGCTTAAGGAAATTGGATAACAGAGTAAAGATTTGGGGTACGGCTTTAGATCTCAGGAAGATCTTAGGCTCGATGGGGGTTTGACAGGACCCAAATGTGCTGTCCCCAAGGCTGAGGGCGGGACTGAATGGAAGAGTAAGTGGGGGTGGGAGCACGGATGGACAGGCACTGGGAAAGACTTCCTGGGGACAGGAGGAGGAAGGGAAGTCAGAAGTTTGTTTTTAGGTGAAGCAAAAGATAGGTGGAGGGGGAATGTCCCCCACCCTGGCCGGGGCACATGCCTCACTGAGCTGTCTGTTGCAGGGCAGAAGAGGCGAGACTGTGTGTCTGTACCAGGTGGGTCACCTTCTTGCCTCCCGCCTCAGCTGCTTCAACTCCTCATCAGCTTTCTGTTCTTTTCACTGTTTTTTCTCCTTTCTGTATAGCAGTAGGGCAGCCAGAGTCACCCTATGAAGGGGTTTCCCCTCTGTTCTCCTGGAAGACCCCGTTCTTGGGCCCTGGAAGGTTCCAGCTCTCAGGAGCTGGGCCGTGAAAGCCCAACACTATCACTTAGGAATCCTGGGAACTGACGAGCTTCATATGAAGAAGAGGGGCTTCACATGGCCTTACGAAGCAAGAGCATGGTTCCAGACCCAGCCCAAGCAGCCATCTCCCCAGTTCGGGTTTGGGGAGACCTGAGGTCATGGCAGGGTTGAGGGAGTCCCACTATGTGCTAGGGACTTTCTGGGACAAGCAGGGGAAGTACCGTGGTGGCCACTCAATTAAACAGCGTTGTAGAATGGAGACATGGAATTTGATGACTGGTTTATTCTCTGATTCTGAACTGTCTGCCCTTACTAGGTTCAGGGACTGAGGGACTAAAGAGTTCACTTCCTGATCACCCTAGACATGTCCCCTGTCACATGAGATAGCTTGCAAACCCAGCAGCTTTAACAACTAGAGTGTCCCCCAACAACCAGGAAGACAGAAAGGCACAGATGTGTTCCTCAGCCTGTCTGTGTGATGAGGAATGCAGGGCCGAGGAAGGACACAGCTTGCTCAAGGTCAGACAGTGTTGAAACTCAGAACTGTTTCCACTGAAGAGCTGAGGAAGCCCAAAGTATGATTCTGAGCCCAACACACCTGGAACCCCAGAGCAAACCATTTCTCTCTGCCCTGCTCACACGGGTCCATAGAGGGGCAGGAGTGGAGGGCGAATTTGAAAATGTCAAGAGACAGGGATTCTCACCTGCTCCAGAGCCATCTGTCACCCACATCAGGAACTTTATTGAGGCAAAGAAAGAAGCACAGGCTCGACCCAGTGACCTTCATCCCACTCAACTGGTACATTGTACTCCACAGCAGAAGAAAGGACCTTTCCACTGTGTTAGGACTCCCCCTCAGTCCCTGCATCCTGCCCTGGGGGCAGGTCCCCAGTTCCCTCTGCTTCTTGCTCCCTGTGCACCAGCACATGAGTTGGGGAGGACAGCACAGCCTCTCCTGCAGCCTGCACCCCAGTTTCTGAAGAGTCTTGGGTCTCCACAATGCCTGGCATGGTGAGCTCTGGGGTCTCAGGGATGGGGGGGCCCAGGTTCTGGAAGCTGTTGCGCACTCGGGTGATGTAGCGGCTGAGAATGCTGGCACCATCGGGAGGCCGGGGTGTCCCTCCTGCCTCCAGGGTCCGCCGCACACTGGCCACCTCGCTTTGCAGCCGCGATACGGTCTTGGTCAGCTCTGTCAGTCTGTTGCCCAGGTCTGGGGAGGCAGAGCATTGAGGGAGGGCTTTCAGGAAATGAGCCTGCTCAGTACTTCTACCCTCAGCAGAAGCCCAGGGATACTGTCTGGGGGGGTTTTAGGGAGGAGGACTGGGAAGACTTAAAGGGTCAGGTGGGCCGCAGAATCTGGGGCAGACGAATCTGAGTACTTGGCCTTTCTCCAACTTCTCCTTCCCAGCCCTCTCTAAACCATGGCTCTTTCTGCAGCCTGTCTGTCTTGCTATTAGCTGGGCACTTCCTGTCCAGCATGATACTTGACCATTGCTCCCTATACTGCAAGCTTTGCTTGTGGGTTGTCTCCCTCCAAGACACAGCCAGGAACAAGGGAGGGAACAGCAGCGAGTGCCAGGTGAATGAGTAAATAAGTGTAGGAGTGAGTGAGAGAATAAATGAATACAGGAACCAAGGCAGAAAAAATAAGTGGTTAAATGAAGTGTAGGAATAATACTCAAATGGGTCAGAAGGTCCACAGTGTGAGGGACCACATTGTGCAGGCCTCAGTTTCCAAGGGAAGGGTTCAGTGTGGCCACCTATAAGTGCAAGTGGGATGAGATTGTGGTCTGGGTGGGCAATTTATCTTACTCCATCAAGCAATAGGATTGGAGATGGACAGCTAACCTTTCCGGCGGGTCTCCTCGAACTCCCGCCGGGCAGTCTCTATGTAGCGCTGCACCAGAGCTTTGATGACACGAAGGCGGTAGGATCCTCGCTCTGCCTCCCCGGGCCCAGCCGCTGCCCCGGCCCCTGCTCCTGCCCCAGCCCCTGGGTTGGCCTGAAACGGGAAGACAGGAGGGTGAGGGAGATGCTCTGCCCCCAGCCTTCCTCTAATTATGTCCAACTCTGGCAACAAAAGACCAAGGAAAAGTCTGTGCAGACCTTTCTGTCTTTGGAGGCTGCAGACCTAGACTGTGGCATATCTCCATCTCACAATGGAGTCCTGGGAAGCAGAAGACCAAAAGTTAGGGAAAACCTGACTGAGAGAACCAGGGGTTGGAGGTGAAGGTTTGACGTGGGGGAAGGAAAGAACCCTGTACACATCCCCAGCATGCTGCTCTGAATTAAGAAGGGCTGTCAGGCCCAGCCACATGGGATTAGGGTGCAGATACTGAGAGGTAAGTGAGAAATTTAGATGCACACCCCTCCTGTCTCAGGTCTCTGTCAGACTGTTAATTTCCCAGCTGGTAGGCATTTAGCCTTGACTTTTTTATGTTTTTGAAAAACATCCTACCATAGCTTGGCACAGCTCACCTGAAGCTTAGAAGGTACCTGTGGATTGGGGGGAGGGGGACATGGACTTCTGTTTACATTGCATGACACAGGGTTAGAAATTTAGGAAATGGCCAGAGCCAGGAAGAGGGAAAGAGAAGGCGCAGGGGAGTGGGAACACATCTGCAGACAGACCTGGTGGAGAGTGCACGTAAATAGGTGGTGTGGGGAATGCAGTGGAAGCTGGTGTGAGGGGGACCAACAGCAAAGAGGTGAGGAAGGTACTTACAAAGGTGGGGATCGGGGGATAGTCTGGCTTCTTGGTTTTACAGCAGGAGCAGCAACAGCAGATGAACCGGAAAATTCTCCTAAGAGATTTTGATGGCGGGAAGGTTGGTCAGGGGACAGGACTGAGGAAATGGGGCAGATGCTGGGTGCTTGGGACTTGGGGGGCAGTGAGAGCCTTGAGGTCCTTACCTGAGAAGGTAGAAGAAGGCCTTGGGGGTGGGCAGGATGTTGAAGGGCACAGGCAGTGTCAGGCCCTCTCGGAAGTAGGACAGGTAGAGCTTGGAGCGAGCAAACTTCCACTCCACGTCAGCGTCATCCTGAGGCCCAGGAGGGAGGGGGCTGTGACACCCGGCCCTCTGGCTCACACAATCTGCCTCTCTTCCCCAGTCCTGAAACTTTTCATTCCCTACTGTGCCAACCACTCTCTTTTCCTTATCTCTAACCTTATGTATCAGCCACACACCCTGCATGTCTCCTTTCCTCCTCCTCCCATTCTCTTTTTTCCCTCTCACTTCTAGTTCCTGCTGAGCCTAACTCCAGCCTGGAAACCCTGCCCCATGCTCTTCCTTGCCTCTTCCCTCTCGTATCCCCATCTCCTCTCCCACATCGCATACTCCTCCAGACCACAAAGTGGAAAGAGCACTGCACTTGATGCCTGGAGACACTAACACCACTAAGACCCTCATTTTACAGAGGAGATTTTGAAGAAAGTCACAAAATAAGACAACAGCAGAGACAGAGCAGGAAACCAGGCGTCTCGGCTCTTGGCACCTTCGCGCTTCTCCCAGGATTAATCTGGGCCTCAGATTCACACACCTCAATCTTCTGGAAGGAGTTGGTGATCATGGCGATGAGCATGTTGAGCAGCACGATGACCATGACGATGGTAAAGATGCCATAGAGGGCCCGGCCCACGAATTCAGGCACCAGAAACTGAGGCATGTCTACCACTTTGTGTTCCTCCATGCCAAACATGGTCCAGAACAGAAACTGGAATGTCTCGTTGAAACTGGCCGGGAAAAGGATAGGACATGGGAATGGAGGAGGAGCCCGGGCTCCACTTAGAACCCTCCACACCCTCCAGGACTCAGCCAAAGGTGTTTTGTGTCTGTGGAGTCCATGGAGTCATCCTGGCCCAGACACTTGTCATTCTGACCTCCAACCTTTATTTATTTATTTAGTACCGGGATTGAACTCACGACCTCAAGCTTGCCAGGCAGGTGCTTATGCTGCTGAGCTAAATCTCCGGCCAACCTTTATTCTTTTGGTCAACCAATGTTTACTGAGCACATAGTGTCATAGGTGCTAAGGACATATGGGTAAATAAGACAAGTAGAGTCCCTGTCTCCAAGGATCTGTATTCTGGTGGGGAGGCGAGGTGGCCAGAAGAGACTGGCTTGTGTGAGGTAAGTGGGGATCTTGCAGAGCAAAACTGAAGATCCTTACCAGGGTCTGTGGACAACAGGAAGCTATGAGGAGCACTAAGCAGAGGCGGGATACCTGATAGATATTTGAAAAGAGCATTTTGTTAGGAAGGAGGTGAGTGCGTGAAGGCCTGGAGACCAGCTGAGAAACAGGTGCCATGGTCTAGGTGGGAGTGGATGGTGGCAGGGAGCACACTGATAGCAGTGTCCATGCCACCTCTGCCAGGATGGAAGCACTTCCTGAACCACTCTCCCTGCCTCCAGCAGAATGTGTTTATCATTTTCCTTCCTGTTAGATTTATTTGTGGACCCATCTTGTGTCCTCCATCTCAGCACCAGGTCAAGCAAAGATTACTGGAGCCTCATGCTGGGTTCTGGACGAGCCTGTCTCTTGTTACTTTGCCCTCTACGTTGCCCCAACAAAGTTCTTTGAGAAGCTAAACTGACCCAATCTGTGGTATCTCTGCTTGTCAACCTTCAAAGGCTCCTACTTACCCTCAATCACATGTCTACTGCACACCTGCCTGAGCTATTCAACAGAAGTACTTCCGGTATAACTCACAAATGAACAGCTAGGAGGGGCCAGACTTGCCCAACCAGCCTTGCCCGGCCACAGGGAAGCAATACCACTTGCATCCACAAACCAGGCTGGAATGTTACCGTCTCTGGCACTACACTTTTAACTGTGAAAGTTTAGTTCCTTTACAGTAATGGTGTGAAATTAGGCCAAGAAGTCAAATATTCTTTGTAAGAAGACACTTTCATATACACTGAAAGCACAAGGAAGTCTTGATCTTTATTTGCAGGACCAAATGAGGGTCCTCTACAATCACCATGAAACCATTACACAACTGCACTCATGAAGAACTTATGACTGGGCCATTGCTAGAAAGTCAGCAGAGTTCCCTGTACCTCCTCTGAAGTCCGTAACCCTTCCGGGAGGATCCAGGTTCCCCCTCTCTGTAAAGCCCTCCCTGGCCATCCATGACACAAAGGGGCTTCCCCCTGGGCACCCTCAGCATATGTCCTCTTTTCTCACAGCTCTTATTTTGTCAGACAGCTTATTTGTTCACATGGCTGTGAGAATAGGTCTGGGTAACTTCGCTTTGTGCTTCCACCACGGACAGGACCACCCACAAAGAAAGTGTCAGCATGTGGCTGGGAACTCAACAGCAAACCCACAACTGCCTGACTGTAAAAGTAATTCACTCTAAATAGAGCATGAATGACCAATCAATGAGTAAATAAACAAATGTAAGAATTTAATTATTGGCCTTACTAAGGAAAAATTCAGCATGGAAACGAATGACTTCAATAGATCACTCATTTTATGTTTTCAGACAGGGTCTCACTATTTTGTGTAGGCTCGCACTGAGTTTGTGGTTCTCCTGCCTCAGTCTCATCAGTGCTGGGATTACAGGTGTGCGCCACCATGATCAGCCAGGAGAAAGCATTTCTTTTTCTTTCTTTCCTGATATTCTCTCTCTCTCTCTCTCTCTCTCTCTCTCTCTGTCTCTCTCTCTCCCTCTTCCTTTTTGCCAGTTAGTAAACAATGAAAGCAGGAAAATCACCATCTGCAAACTGCCATTGCACCAACTGATACAGCTAAGAGCCATCCATGGAAAGCCACTGGGTGAGAGGCTGCCAGGGAGCAGTTTAGTGCCAACGTCTCAACCGTCTCTTGGTTGCTAAAGGGAGCTCTACAGCACCTCCGCAGTGGAAAGGTTTGCTAGGCCAATGGGCCTCACCAGTGGGCCACCCAGCCCTCAACGCCTCTCAGTGTGGTACAGGGGAAGGTGCACATCACCGACTAGGCTGTGCTCTTGCCCCAAGTCCTTGACTTGAGTTTAATTAGGAGGAAATAAATCCTAGGCATGAAATATAACCTGGTCTGCACTCAAGAAAGTTCACTTGTCATGCAGGCACAAGAAAGGTAGAGGGCATGTTCCAGATTAAAGGAGACTAAAGAAAATATGACAATAAACTAGGTGTGATGGTGCACTCCTGTAATCCCAGCACTCGGGAGGCTGAGGCAGGAGGCTCTTTGTAAATTCCAGACCAGCCTGGGCTACAAAGTGAGCCCAAGGCCACTTGGACAATAGGAAGACAAAAAGATAAAAAAAAAAAAAAACAGAATAAAAGAAATGTGACAATAAATGCAATACATGATTCTAGATTGGCTATGAGACTTAAAAATTAGTAATTTTTTGGCAATTGGGGGAATTTGAATAAGGGTTGCACAGTAAGTAGAATTCGTAACATTATTATGAATATTAAATTTCTTTTTTGTGTGTGTGGCTTGGGGATTGAATTCAGGGGCTTGTGTATGCTAAGCAAGTGCTCTATCACTGAGCTACAACCCTAGACCTTACATTTTTTTAACATGATGGTGATTTTATGGTTATCCTCTTAGGAGGCATCCTGAATTATTTAGGGGTAAAAGTGTCATGATATTTACAAATTTTAAATGTTTCAAAGGAAAGAAGAATAAAGACAATACTAGATAACCAGTTGTGGCAAAACAGTAACAATTGAATCTAGGTAAGTGGTACATGGTGGGAAAAAAATTAAAAGTTTGAGGAGGAGATGAGTGCATAAATGAACAAACGAGGGACAGAGTGAGTTAATGAGAAAATAAGCAAGTAAGAGAACTGAGTGACTAAATGAAGGAAAGAGACAGAGCGGTCAGGCTGCCGCCTCCTCTGCCCCACTTACTTGCCCAGCTGCTCCGTCTCCTGGTAGGGCACGTAGATATTGTTGAGGCCGCAGAGAAAGGCGGTCAGGATGATCATGAGGATAAACATGAACCTGGTAGGGGTGGGGTGGGAGGGTCAGAGCAGGCCTCCATCCTGGGAGAAGTCGGGCTCCGGGAAGAGAGAGATGGGGCCCAAGGGTCCCAAGGTGGCAAGATCACCTGGCTAAAGGGTGCAGCTCCCAGCCCCAGGTTAAGAACTGCACTATCCTAGAGCTGAGGAATCCAGGAGGGCAGGAGGAGAGTGTCAGAAAGGGGGTGCTCTGAGGAGGGACAGTTCACACCTGATCATGTCATCAATCATCCTGCCGATGGAGATCTGCAGAGTGCCCAGCGATTCGTGGGCCGGCAGAATGTAGGCCAGGCGGGTGAAGCTGAGCATGCTGGTGATGGCGAAGAGCACCTCGGCAAGGAACTGGGGATCCTCAGTGCGCCACTCGCTTCGCTCTGTGCAGGGTCGGATGGGGGAGTGGCTGAGAGCCAGGAGGGGTAGGGACTAGGGGACTGAGGGCTGAGTCATGAGGACACTCACCAGCAGTGGTGAAATAGTGGCAGATGGCACTGTCAGAGGCATCCCTGCAGGACACAAAGGCAAGCCCGGCAATGAGGAGGCGCAGGGCAAAGGCTGCCAGGTACAGGGACAGGATGACCACGTCCAGGAAGTTCCACCAGTCCAGGAGGTAGCTTCGCAGGCCCTCGATCCACACCTCCTTACACTCAAACCACAGGAAGCCTGGGGAACAGGCAGGGGTCAGGACAGAGTGGGGCAGAGCTTCCTAAGCCTTCTAGGTCAGAGGAGGATTATGGGGAGGGAGGACCTTCTTGTGGGAAGTGGGAGCTGAACATCCCTGGAGTGAAGCCAGTAAGACACAAACATGTACTCTATCCAGGTGCGACATGATCATATGTGGAAATAAACTCTGTGGATGCAGTTGCTTCTCAGGGCTGGTGTGACCTGCACCAAGGATCACAGGCAGCTGACACTTGGAAGTGAAGGGCACCTTCACTTGGAGTGAGGCTGCACTAGGAGGTAGTAGTTTACATCTGTTCCCTTTGCCCTCAAAAGATGCGGTATTTTTATACAATGAACTACTACTCAGCCATAAAGAAGGATAAACTTGAGGCTTTTATAGGTAAATACATGCAACTAGAAACCATTTTCATAAGTGAAATAAATCAGACCTACATGTGTAAACACATATTGTCTTGCTAGTGTAAGAAACTGAAAGAGTAAATAAGAACTAAAAGTTACAATAGATATGGTAAAAGGGAAAGAAATTGCTCAAAGGGAAACTGTATTGTTTGACCAATTTTGCGTGCCTGTATCTGGTAACCTGAGCAAGTATTTTGAAGATAACAATATGCAATATAAAAGTAGCTGTCAAATTCTTACCATCTTGTTTTGAAATCCTGTATTGCTGCCATTTTTATTGATGCTGTCATTTTGCTTTTGTTATTGTTCTTTGATTGCTTCTTGAATTTTTTTTTTCTCTTTAACATTAACAACCAAGAATATTGCTGTGATCTGAAAGGGCTCCCAATCAGCCTGCTCAGTGTCCAGGGCTCAGTGGAGCCTCACTTAGGGGTGGAAGGGTCGTGGGAGGGGTACCCATTAACAAGGTGATCTGGGCGCCTTGTTTTTTTTCCACTCCCTTCACTCACTGTCCCCCTGCCCAGAACACCCTTCACGTCCTTTGGAAGCCCAAGTCGCCCTCGTGACCCAGGTCAAACACCCCTTGCTCTGCGAGGCATTCCCAGCAGGTAGAGTGAGCCATCCGTCTGTGTTCTCCCCGCTCCATTCACATCTCTGTGATGCTATCACTGTGCGGCACTGCTGACTCTCTCCGTGGATCTGCCCTTTCCCTTAAACTTGGAGCCCCTCAAGGGCAGGGACTGTGTCTAATTCATATCCTGTGCCCAGTGCCCAGAACAAATTAAATCTGTATTAAACTCCTATCATATGTCAGTAGGGTGCTGTGGTGGAAATGACAGCCTAGTTCTGTCTAGTGAGGGAGACAGGCCAGTAGATACTTGGGGCTCAGAGAGAGCTTCTCAAAGAAAGTGACATTTAAATTGAGGCTAAGGGAGAAGGAACCAGACTGAAGGGGCAGCATGGAAGGGATTCGTGATATAAGAGAAACGAAAGAGCAAATGCCTGGAGATAAGTGGGAATACATGGTGTGATCAGAAGTATGGTGAATATTTTTTTTAAATTTTTAAATTGTAGGGGCTGGGGGTTTAGCTCAGTGGCATAAGCACCTGCCTTGCAAGCAGGCGGTCGTGAGTTCGATCCCCGGTACCAATAAAAATGAAAAAGACAAAAAAAAATTTTTTTTAAATTGTTACAGTAAAAGACACATTGCTTTTCTTTAAAATACTGCCCCTTGTTTCAAAAACATTAATTCCATCCTTGCCACTTTCTGAAGCAATTCTGGATGTCCTCTTTCATGAATGCCTTTAGCTGTGTGTTGTGGCTGCCTCAATGTCTGATTCAAAATATTTACCTGGAACAATCATTTTGACTTTGGAGAAGAGCCAGAAGTCACACAGGACCAGATCCACTGAATAAGGTGGCTGAGGACACACTAACTGTTTTATAAGGTTGCTTAGCAGCAGCATTTACTGTATTTTAAAACTACACCTGTGTACTGGGCATGGTGGAACATGCCTGTAATCCCAGACTTCGGGAGGCAGGAGGACTACCGTGAGTTCAAGACCAGCCAGGACTACAATGTATCTGAACTACACAGTGAGACCCTGTCTCAAAAAACTAAAAATAATAATAATAATTTTACCTTGTAAAAATGCTCATGAAAGAGATTTTCAGAGCCATGTGCAGTGCTGCATGCCTGAGATCCTAGCACTCAGGTGGCTGAAGCAGGAGGATCACTGAGAGTTTAAGGCCAGTCTCAGCTATATAGTGAATTCAAGGCCAGCCTGAACTATAGTGAGACCAGTCTCAAACAACCAAACAACAAAAACAAAAACAATAAAACAAACCAATCAGGAGGGCTTCTGGAACTGCTTCAGAAAGTGGCAACAACGAAGGGATAGGTGTGCTCTGACCAGAGGAATTATTTTGAGGGGAACTCAGTGCCTGTGTGTGAGATTTGAGTTCGATCCCTGGTACCCCCCAAATTACCATATTTTAAGGGGAACTAATGGCAATATGTCTTCTATTGTAACAAACGTTTAAAAATTCGAACACACCACATATAACATGGTCAGGAGCTATGATCAGTGCTGTATGGCAGGATGGTACCTTGTGTGGGGGCAGATGCCTGGTTAAATACGTGCTGACTTTATGGAACCATGTTTAACTTACCATGCACTCTCAGGGCTTCACTCACAGTAGGGCCTCAACAAACATGTATTGCCTGAATAAATGAGTTTTGTTCTATGTGCTTATAAGACTTTTCTTCCCTCACAGAACTGTGTTGGCTTCATCTCCACTCAGAGGTCAACAAATGTTTAGTAAATCATAGATGAGAAACTTTTCCTCTCGCGCTGCTCTGATTTGTTTCCCCCAAAGGTTTGTGGTCTGATTTTCTTTTGGTCGTCACCAACTAGCTTGGCACAGGATACTGGGCTTGGCATATTGGCGATCTGGGAGTTTGTTACCTAAGCTGGAGCTAAGTGGGGAGGACAGCAGCCCAGCCTGCTGGGCTGACCAGCCGGAGGCTGTGGACAGTGTGGATCTCTGGGCTTCTTGCACTACGTTTGCTGAATTGTTTGAGAAAACTGGGTTCTCATGAAGAAAAGAAAACCATGGAATGGATGAAACGTGTCAGGCATAGATGCGTTAGTCACCTGGGTGACAAGTTGAGCGGGTAAAGTGAGTAGAGTGTTAGTGTGTGAACATTCATAGACACCAGGTACTCATGACACACTGGACACAAACATGCACAGGAGGCCCTCAGCAGTTGTGAGAGTTTAAATCAGCTACCCACTGGTCACCCTCATGCCTGCTCCATATATTCTCCACCCAAAGAATGCACGTAAGATTCACAGCTGCTCATCAGGACAGCTGGCAAGCTCCAGCTTGCCCAGCCACACCTGCAGCACTGTTGCTCACTCAGATCAAGCAGTAGCCAAGGCAGCGTCTGTGCAGTTTCCTCCCAAGGACACCATGCCTATACCACTCATGGGTGCATGATCGAGCATTTCACTTGGTCTGTGAGCCTTTCTGCTGCACAACTCTGGGACGGTCTGTCGGGTCATGTCCTTGGGAGCTACCTTTCTACCAAGACAAGTCTCAATGGACCCTGTGGGCAGGTATCTCACCGTGAGGGGAGAGGAACCTCCAGAGCAGGTAGTGACTGGTACCAGGGAAGGGGCAGAATGGGTCCTTGCTCAGAGAGTCTGCCGCAGGGCAAAGAAAAGACATCTATGGAAGCAAAGTCCCCTCAAATTGGGGAGCTTATTATGAAGGACAGTGAGGGGCCCCTAAGGGAAATGCCACAAAGAGCCACATGTGTACCTGTGACCCAAATCATGTGCAGTGATGTCTCCCAGACAGTCTGGCTGCGGCCGCTGAAGGTGCTCAGCTGTGTCTCCATGGCCAGGGACTCTCCCAGCAGGAAGATGAGGAACCACAGGTAGGAGGCGGAGTGCAGTAGGAACTTCAGCACTGGGATCTTCAGCAGGCGGCCCAGCTTTGGGGAGAGTGGGAGGATGTGGCCTCAAAGTCCTGTGGTCTCCTCTGTTGGGAGCCCCGCTGGACTATTCCACCCACATGCGGCTCTGCTTTCCTCAGCTTCGCCCACTTGTATTTCCAGACATTTATTGAGAATGTATAAGGACCTATTTTTTTTAAACGGGGGATTGAACTCAGGGCCTTTACACTGAGTTACATCCCCAGCACTTCTTTTATTTACTGTTTATTTACTTGGAGTCAGGGTCCCACTCAGTCACTAAGGTGCCCAGGCTAGTCTTGAACTTGGGATCTTCCTGACTCAACCTCTCAGAGTGCTAGGGTTACAGGTGTGCACCACTGTGCTCAGCTGGGCCCCACACTTTCCTATCTGTTGTCTCCTTCACAACGAGATGAAGTGGGTGTTAGTCCCATCTCTTCGGGAGCCGACACGCACAGAGGTAAAGTGACTTTCCCTTAAGATTCTACAGAGACCAAACTCAAGCAAGCTAAAAGATACATTCTTCAATTTTACCTTAAATTGGCTCCTTCGACCACATAAAATAATGGTGGTCAACTAGCCAGGAACTTTGGCTGACAGCATCCTGAAACTGGTCCCCTTCATCAGCTTGCTTGGTCAACCCCGCAGTGACTTGCCTACGAATGTGGCTTGCAAACTCCAGGCCCCACCCACACCACTACTCACTGTGCCTTAGTTTCCCTTGTGCTGTGCGCCCTCCCTGCCCTCGGCCTTCTCCTGTGCCATTCCTCTTCCTGGACACTTTTCCCTGCTCCTCACCTGGTTATCAGAAACAGCCTTCATTTTGCGTTATATCCCAGGGCCAGTGCCTTAATGCCTTGCTCACAGTGGGGTCTCAAGGAAATACTTGCTAGGGGAAGGAGAATGGAGGAATAGACAGGGGATCCACGTTTGGAGGCAGATAAACTGAGCTGAAATCCTGACTGCCGTTTGCTGTGTGCTCTTGACAAAGAAAATAGTTCCCTGCGCCTGAGGGTCCTTCTCCCCATGGCAGTGATGCTTACCCTCCAGACCTACCTCAAAAAACTGCATGGGGACATTTGCTAAGCACCTAGATTTGGGGTTATGCCTAGCCTGTCATATGTAAGTGTTCACAAATGAGTGCTGCTTAATCTTATCCTTAGTACCCGGGACTTGGGTGCCAGCCAGTAGCCAATGCAGAGGAAGGGCATGGTGAGGAAGATGAGGAAGGCGATGAAGAGCTTCCAGATGGTGGTGCTTCCACGCCAGCCAGCCAGATTCCCACACCAGATGGAGGACAGGACTTGCTGGCAGATGGGGTGCGCTACAAACTAATCAGAGATAGAGCGTGAGAGGGGGCGCCCACCAGGCAGGGAGGACCAGGGGTCAGCTGGGTGCAGAGCCCTTACTTCCTGCCACAGAGGTTGAACCATCCTTCTTTTTGTGCAAACCAGCCAGCCCAGAAGAAGGGGGCACACTTGCCACTTAACCCTGGGTAGATCCTGCCCTCTCTGAGCTTGTCTGAGAAGGAGGAAGTGAACTCTGAAGATTGTCCTGGACTCCGCTTTCCTCAATCTAAGTCAGTCCTTGGTAGGGAGAACTCTCAGAGTTCCCTGCCTTCTTAGATTTTGGACAACAGTCTAAATCATCTCTTAAACTGGGCATAGTGGTGCACGCATGTAATCTCAGCACTTGGGAGGCTGAGGCAGGAGGATCACTGTGAGTTCGAGCCCAGCCTGGGTTACAAAGTAAGTTGAAGGCCAGTCTGAACTGCATAGTAATACCCTGTCTCAAAAAGACCAAACAACAACAATATCAAAACCAAAACCAAAACCAAAAAGCCCAAATTATTTCTTTGGTTTTTTGTTTTGAGACAGTCTTGTTGTGTAGCCCAGGCTGCCCTTGAACTGGTAGAGATCCCTTTGTTTCTTCTCCCCAGTGCTGGACTCACAGGCTGTGCCACCACACCTGGCTGAAGGGTTTGAAATCGGATGGGGAGAGAAGGGGGGCAGAGCAGGTTTTCTGTTTTGGAGGGGCAGGGCCAGAGGCGTCACTGTAAAGGAAAGGGTTGGCTAAGTTCCAGCTGGCTAGTCTACCTGAGAGTGGGTAAGAATAGGGAGTAAGGGCCAGTGGAGGCTGCAAATGGAGCATGTTTCAGTTTGGAGGAGGATTTCTAATGAGGCAGAAAATAAAAGAATCACTCAGTGTTCAGCCTGAGAGACCTACTCTACTCTTGCGGTGCAGAGTGAGCCACTGAGGTCTACTGACAGAACAAGGCTGGACTGAAGTCACTCTGCAGGGCGGAGCCAAAGCTCGAAGGCGGACTGTCCCAGCGTGAAGGAAGGAATCTGCGTAACACGGGTCCTCGGGTCCTCCGAGGGACTGGGCACAGGGAGGGGCGAGTGAAGGCGGAAGGGAGGGGCAGAGGCCTTCTCTTCTTGCCAGCAAGCGCCTAGACAAGAGTGCTCAGAATGGAGGTCCTGAGAGCAGGAAGAGGCATCCGGTGGGGCAGGGCAAGGGAGATGTTTAGAGTTGGGAGGGCAACGGGGCAGGGAGGGCGACAGGGCCCAGCTGACCCGTTTCTGGTTGTAGTTGACCGCCAGCCGCAGCCTTGCCAGGTTAGGGATTCCCTCCTCGAAGGCCTGGCCCAGGCTCTCAGTCTCAGGCTCCGTCTCACTGTCCTCCCCCAGGTCGTTGAGCACGGCAGTGACTTCACTCTGGTTCCGGCACATGCCCAGCAGCTCAAAGCCATAGTCCTGGCACAGCGACTCCAGAGCGATGTACTCAGGCTGTGGGGAGGAGGTCTGTGTCTGCCAGCCACCCTGTGCGTCCTGTGTGTTAACTCACCCCGCTCCCTCTCTGAGCTCTCCGGCCATCCCTTCCTGTACTTGGTGTCACTGGGCCATTGCTTTCTACCTCATCAATGCTTTTTGGTATGATGAGGTCTCTCGTGTCACCTTTTGCTTATCTGGTGGTATCTCTACCTCACTGTTAAGTCACTTCAGTTCTCTCTTTTGCCTGTTCTCGGTACTGTACTTCCCTTTCATAGGTCTTATTTTCTGAGCCCCCCTTTAACTTCTAATCCTTATACCTTCACTTACATTATAGGCAACCACAGTAGCAGTTTTAGAACATTCAGAAATGAATATGGTAGGTTACTCACGCTACCCTTGGCTTTCCTTGGGCCCTTTTCCCCAGAGAGGGTGTAAGCGAGGCTTTCCGGAGGCCAGGCTCCTCCTGGAACTGTCCCTCAGGTGTTGTCACACTGGGTCAGGTACTTGCCCTTTCCGGGCCTCAGTTTCTCTGCATTCCCGATCCTGCCCAGGGTGTTCTCTGCATTTACCACCTACTCTTGTTCCCTTCTGGCCTTTTCTGGAGCTACAGCTCTACTTCACATACTGTCCCTGTCACTTGCACCAAACCGCCCACCTCCGCAGCTTAAGCTTAACACCACCTCACCCAGGAAGCCTTTCCTGAGCACACAGCTGAGCCTCTCCTGACTCTTCCCCAGGTTTGGAAGCCCTCTGGGCACCATCTACAAAGGCACAGAGGGAAGTCCTGGGAGCGTCTCATGACCACAAGCTTGAGAGCCCCAGCAGCCAATGCTCTGGGTGAGACACAGCAGGTACTCCAAAGAGACTGCGTGTCATGTCTCAGTCTTCCCAGCTGCTTTTTTTTTTTTTTTCTTTTTTTTAGTACTGGGAAGCAAACTCAGGACCTTGTGCTTGCCAGGCAGGCGCTGTGTTGCTGAGCTGTATCCTCAGCCCTCAAGATGCTTTTCCACGCATTGTCTATGTTTTTTCCCTCAGACCCAAGGCACCTGGGGGGGGGGGGGACTGTGCCTGTCCAGTAAGTCTAAATGTCCCTAAAGTGACTGATTTCTGTTGTTAGAATAAAATTTCCCTTAGGGTGGGATTGTGACTCTGTCAAAATAGAGGTTTCCAGAAAACAAGAGAAGGCCTCATCCTCTCCACATTGCCTCCCACTTCCCAGAACACCCACCACAGGCCCAGTCTTGCTCCTATGGAAGAACAGATGCAGGGCCTGAGGTGGGCAAGCTGTGAGAAACTAACCTTAAACTCAGGCTCCTTGCGGGCCAGGCGCCTAAGCTCACGGCTGAGCTGGAAGGCGGCCAGCATGGCGTCTTCACTGGCCAGGGAGAGGTGGGCCCTGCTGGCGATGCCGCGGTAGGTGTTGATGCGGGACAGGGAGAACTTCAGCAGGTCGTAGCGGCGGGCGTTGCTGCACTCGAGGCAGGCACAGGAGACCGGGTGGGGCCGGGCAATGGTGTGGCCCTGCTCCATGAGCAGCTGTGCGATCTCATACAGGTCCTTCTGACAGGCCAGTGTGAGCGGAGTGACACCAGGGGCAAAGCGGGAGCCATCAATGGATGAGTCAAAGAAAGCCAGAGAGAAAGACCGAGTGTCAACCTTGCGGCCCTTCTCCCGGTCCAGCCGGGCTAGCAGGCGACGCACCACTGCTGGCTGGTTTGTGTCCACTGCCACTAGCAGGGCTTCGTGGATCTGCCGGAAGTCGAACTTGACATTGGCCAACAGCATGTCAGTGATGGCCTCGTGGCCCAGGCGGATGGCCAGGTTGAGTGCTTCTCTCCAGGAGCGGTCCTCGGCCTCTTCCACATTCCGCAGGGGCCCACCTGGCCCACCGAAGGTGGCCTCCACCCCTGCCTCCAGCAGCTGCTGCACAAGACCCAGACGCCCCTCCTGGATGGCACCCAGGAGTGGAGGTGGAAACTTGAGCTTTTTGTTCACAATCTCAGTCCAGTTAGGCTGTGCCTGGATGTAGGAGTGGACAGGAGAGGACCCTGAGTTCCAACCCGTTTTGTCTTAGGCTCTTAACCCTCTGTGCTCAGCCATCATTAATCTTCCTCGTCCCAAATACACACTGGCAAAAGACATCTGATTCACCATTTTATTGTATAGATTCCTATGTCAGGAAGTGCCAAACCTGTCTGGCACAGGGAGAGGAGGGCTCTTCCTCAGCTCAACTTCCACATCATGGGAACCCACCCACACACCATGGGGCCGCACGTGGGCACACAGCAAGGGCAGTTTAACAGGTGCACAGGGTCTGGCCAGGCCCCAGCTCCCATCTTGCTGACTTCATCTTGTAGCTGCTCATCACCTCTCTCAAGAGCAGATCCAGATGAATCCACTCAAGAGGGATTCTGGACTGCCCCCCCCCCCCTTTCCGCAGGGCATTTCTTCCCCAGTGCTGCAGACCCTTTCTTCTGAGACTCGCTCCCACCTTTGCTGTGCTTGTCTTCTGGCCCAGCCTTAGGGCTCCAGGGGCTCCTCCACCAACATGGTGATGCTACCGCCTGCCAGCAGCCCGGGTCTCCCTGCCACCCCTCTGGGCCAACTGATTATTTTGTTCATAGCTAGGAATGGGATTGGGGTAGGGGAGGGTAGGGGTGCAGAGCCTCTTACCGTAAGGGGGTCCATGGCTGCACCCACCTACGCAGGCAGGAACTGAAGGCTGAAATCCTGCTTCGTCTGCCTCCCTGAGCGTACCCAGCATTCCCTTTCTAGCCCATTCGACCCCGCCCTGGGCCCTCCCTTTGCCAGGACCAGCTGCTCCCCCTCTCCCTGGTACCCTGGGGACCAGAACTGTTAGCACTAGCACCATACAATGAAATCTTCTGGGAGAGGAGTATGTGGTTGCTCAAAGGTAGAAGTAGAATTTGGACTATCACAGCTTGAGGGAACCTCACACACTGAGTACCTCACTGTGCAAATGGGGAATGGGATTTGTCCAGTGCCCTACCGCCAAGCCTAGAATTATTCCTTAGTCAGCCTATCTGGTCTCTACAAGAGCTCTGTAAGGAGGAGGATGAAGGAATCTTTTTTTTCTTTATTTTATTATTATTTTTTGAGATATGGTCTCACTCTGTAATTCAGGTTGGCTTTGAACTCACTGTGTAGCCCAGGATGGCCTTGTACTGGTGACTGATAATCCTCCTGCCTCAGCCTCCCAAGTGTCGGGATTATAGGTCTGAGCCACTATACCCAGCCTACTATAGTTTCTCTTAAATTACTTCAGTTGTTGGTTTGAGACAAGGTCTTGCTGTGTAGCCTAGGCTAGGCTTGAACTTGCTGTGTGGTCCAGGCTGGCCTCAAACTCGCAATCTTTTTGCCTCAGCCTCCTAAGAGCTGAGACTCTTAAACATGCACAGGATACTTTTCTCTTTTTGAGTCAGGGCTCTCTCTATTGCTCAGGCTGGACCTGAATTCCTAGGTTCAAGTGATCTTTTTCACTCAGCCTCCCAAGTAGCTCGGATAAGACAAATTATTGCTAAAGTCACACAGCTGTTATCCAAATATAGCTAGTATAGAAGAAAGAACACTGGAAGTTAAATGTTTGGGATTCTGGGTATCAGTATCATGCTCAAAGCTCACTCTGGTCTCCCAGATCACCACAGGCTTTTATCTTTCAGGTAGTAGTTTTCATTTGACTGGGCCTCAGTTTTCCTTGCAGGAAAATGGGCACAAGGATGCATACCACTCACTAAGGGAAAGACATTCTGGTTAGTGTTCCAAGACCCTAGAGATCACCAATTGTACTCATAAGTTCCAAAGGTAAAAAAGACAGAGCTGTCCTTCGGAGAATTGGGTGCTATGGTGACAGAGCCTTGACAACTAGAAAAGGAGAGCAAGCTGGGCTCAGAGGGGACTTCAGGCAGAGTCCCAAGGGAACAGGTGGAGGGAGGCAGGGCGGGAGGCTTAGCATCGTCAGCCCTTCTCGGCTGTTGAGATCCGCTCTCCAGTCTTTGTCAAAGCCCGCCTGGCTCAGCCCTGAAGAGCTTCCCCACACACGCTGGCGTGTTCTTCCACTTCGCTTGCGGCAAAGTGCACCTGGCAGATGGGGCACTGGATCCAGGAAGCGGGCGGCGAGCTCTCGGGGGAGGACACCCACAGCACAGACGGGGATGAAGATGGTGAGGAGGAGGGAGGAGCTGCGTGAGGTGGGGAGGGCTCTCCACAAGTGGCAGCGTGCAGAGGAAGAATTTCAGCGCTGAAGGAGCCTGAGAGGGGGAGAAGGAGGTAAACGAAATTGGTCTTTGGACAGATGCCACCCCAAGAAGTCTGAAGGGCGTGTCTGCTGCCAAAATGCATCTGTTCTTCAGGAAATTTACCATGGCTGTCAAATATTTATCAAGTATCTGCTGTGCCTGCCAGATGCCAGGAGCTGAGGGGTGTGCAATGTCTTTATGGACCGTGGAGTCTGATGGTAAACACAGCTAGGAACAGAGGAATAGAGATTCAGAGCAGAAGGTGCACAGTGGGAACGATTGTCTGGGAAGATCAAAGCAGCCTTGGTAAAAAAAACAACAACAAAAACCAACCCTTTAGCAGGGTCTTAAAAAGTAAGCAGAATTTGGACAAGGAGGACAGAGTTAAGAACGAAACTGTCTCTGCCAGTGCTTCACAAGGTCTAGGGTCAGGGTCTCCTGAGGGTAGGGCCGCGTCTCCTCCCCGGCTTGGCCAACAGTGTGGGCGGTGCCCCCGACAGACTTCCCTTGAGCCACATTTGACTTTCAGTGCAGCTGCCGATGTGGGAACTGCAGAGAAACCTGAGGCCAGGAGTCCAAACCCAAACGTTTTTTGACAGCAGCCTCCAGATCTCCCATTCTTCCCTCAAGCAGTGTCTGGTGACCACACAGCCACCTCCTAGCTTACCTGCACAAATGGGGCACTGTCCCCTATCCTGGACGCCATTGCTTTGCGACTGGGGTCGGTGCGCTCTGTGCCTTGCTATTGGTGTGCCTCTCCTTTTTGACTGAGAGTTTGAGCTGGCCGGGGATCTGTGGAGAGCAACAGTCAACAACCAGCAGGCTGAGTGTGGTGGTGCACTCCAATAACCCTAGCATTTGGGAGGCTGAGGCAGAAGGGTCATGATGAGTTTGAGGCCAGCCTGGAATACCTAGTGAGTTCAAGGCCTGCTCGAACTGTATAACAAGACCCTGTCTCAACCCCCTCGCCCCCCCAAAACCCCAACTAAAACCAAACCAAACAACAACCAACTACTGCTGGGTATGGTGGCACATGCTTAGAATCCCAGCACTCTGGGAGGCTGAGGCTGGAGGATCCCAATTTTAAACCCAGGCAGGGCACCTTAGTGACACTCTGTCTCAAAGTAGAAACAACACTCACACACACAGAGGCTGAAGGGCTGAGAATGTATCCTAGTGTGAAGGTCCTAGGTTCAATCTCTGGTACCACTAAAAAACAAATAAACCAAAAACTAAAAAATAAGTCTGGCTATCAGTGAGAGGCTATATGGGTGGAAGGCGCCTAGAATCAGGACAAAGAATGTAGAAATTTAACATGGAAATTTGGGTGGGAATCCTGGTTTCTCACTTGATGTATCAGACTTGAAGAGGTCATTTAGCCTTGGCGTACCTCCAAACAGAGCGCCCCTTACTATTCTCAAATTTCTGGGGTGGTACTGCAGGTTGAACCCCGGGCTTCATACTCAACCTCTGAGGTACATCCCCAAGCCCTCTTTAAACTTTATTTTGAGATAGGTCTTGCTAAGCAGCTTAGGCTGGCCTCAAACTTGTGATCCTCCTACAGCAGCCTCTTGAGTTGTTGGAATTATAGGCATTCCTAGCTGTTCTCAGATTTTTAATCATTTTAAAAATTGAGTTATTATATAAATATCAGAAAATTCATCCTTCTAAAGAGTGAATTTAGGATATTTATCAGGTTGAGTGACCATAATTAATTCTAGAATATTTTTGTCACTCTCAAAAGAAACTTCAAAACTTTTTAGCAGTCACTCTACATTCTTCTATTCCTATAGTCCCTGGCAACCACTAATCTACTTTTTGTCTCTATGTATTTGTCATCTAGTCTGGATATGCTGCATAAATGAAATCATATAATATGTGTGGGGGCTGAGGATGTATCTTGGTGGTAGAGCACTTACCTACAATGTCTAGGGCTATGGGTGCAATCCTCAGCACTGTAAACAAAATAAAACAAAACAACACCACACAATAAACCCTTTGGTCTTTTGTGATTGATTTCTTCCATTTAACATAATTTTTTTTTTTTTTTTTTTTTTTGGTACTGGGGATCAAACTCATAACCTCACACTTGCTAGGCAGGCACTAATGCCACTGAGCTAAATCCCCAGCCTAACATAATATTTTTAAGGTTCATCCACATTAGGTATCAGTACTATATTTCTTTTTCATGGATGAATATTATTCCACATATAGATTAATAGCCCATTGTATAGGAATACTATACTTTGTTCATTCATTCATTATGTGACAAACGTTTGGTTTGTTTTAGATGCAGGTTATTATGAGTAATGATATTAAGGCCAAGCACAGTGTCTGTGTCTGTAGTCCCAGATACTGAGGAGACTGGGAGGTTCATGTGTACCAAGGAATTTAAATCCAACCTAGGCATCATAAAGACCCCATCTCCAAAACACCCAAGCCAAAATAAAAATAAAAAATATAAACATAAAAATGAATAATGCTGCTGTGAGCATTTGTCTGTAAGTTTATTTATTTATTTATTTTTGGTACCAGGGATTGAACTCATGACCACACGCTTGCCAGGCAGGTGCTTATGCCACTGAGCTAAATCCCCAGACCTGTCTATAAGTTTTTGTATGTTTTGAAAACCTGTGAGTATGTATCAGATCTAGAATTGCTGGGTCATATGCTAACTCTGTTTTTAAGAACTGACAAGGTTTCCAAAGCAGTTGTACTATTTTACATTGGCAGTGTATAAGAGTTCTAATTTCTCTATATCTTTGTGAATACTTGTTATTGCCCATCTTTTTAAAACTTTTTAATTATGGCCATCCTAGTGGGTGTGGTCACTGTTTATTTATTTTTTTCTGTCCTGGAAGTTGAACCAAGGGCCTTTGCACTGAGCTACATTCCCAGCCATTTTTTCTTTTATTTAGTTTGAGGTAGGATCTCACTAAGTCACTAAAGAGCTCAGGCTGGGTTTGAACTTGTGAAACTTGTGATTCTTTTGCCTTAGCCTCCCAGACACTGGGCAATAAATCTTGGCAGATTTATTTTGATGAAATCTAAGGGGAAATTGTCTTCAGATTCTGGTCCACCAGGTGCCTCCCTGCCTACCTTGAAGCCTAATGAGTTGTGGACAAGGCATTTTCTTCTCTACCCTTAATTCCAGACCAGGAGATCGAGGCCCAGGCCTAAGGTAATCCTGACCTAACTGAAACAAGAGAGGGGAAAAGGACAGCTGCAGAGGGTGCTAAGGTCTGGGGAGGCGCCGTGGGCCTGTCCCGATGACCTACTCACCTTTGGTCCTGCACTCTCTGTCTCTTCTTCCTGCCCCCATCATTCTCTGAGTTTTGCTCCTCTGCTCTGGGCTCTGTGTTGGAAACGCTCATTAAATCTAGCTCATTAACAAAAGACCTTTGCATAGACATCACTTCTCTAAAAAATATTTTTCTACCTTCGTTGCCTACTTCTTTCTGATTTTCCCTAGATCTTAAATGTAAACCTAGTCATCCTATTAGGCTTTTCCTTCAAACACTTATCACAGTTGCAGTTTTAAATTATGTGACATGGACATGTGTCTCTTCATCAGGATGGGAACATTGCTGTTTATTTACTGTGGCACTCCTGGCCCCACACCAAGCCTGGCACATAAGAGATGTTCAAGAAATAGCTGTCAAATGAACGATAACAAAACCAACAATCACTGTTTGGCTGGTTACTCAGAATTTATGAAATGCGTGGTTGAACATTTAATATATTTGAAGTACTTTCATACCTCCCAGTACAGGCCTCACCTGTACCCTCTGGCTGCCTGGCACCTGCGTCTGTGTGGTTGTTCTTTCGGTTTGCCAGACTGGCTGAAGGTGCCTTGCGGGCAGCAGAAAGCAACATACGAGCTGAACGCCCCAAGGCCCCTGGTTGAAGCTGCTTTAGGAAATCCTTGAGCTCTGACACCTCCTTGGAGTTCCTGCAGGGAAACACAGCATGTATTTTCGCTGGAAATGCAGATCCCATTCTGCTTTCCAAGTCAATGGCACTGAACCAAGAAAGTCAGTTTGACATACAGATAGGGCTGCAGACCTAGAGCCTGGAGCCTGGAGCCTGGAGCCTGGAGCCTAGAGCAGTGCTGGTGCACCTTTGTAAACTGCATGTAGCTAAACTGTAGCCCAAGCCTGTTTATTTACAGCAAAGGGCCAACACTGCAATTAAATCTGAATATGGAGGTTTTAGTTTTTTGGTTTGTTGAGATAGGGTCTTGCTCTGCAGTTCAGGCTAGCCTTGAACTCACTATGTAGCCCAGGCTGGCCTCAAATTTGTGCCAATCCTCCTGCCTCTGTCTCCTGAGTGTGGGATTATAGGTGTGAGCCACCATGTGTTGCTAAGACTGAGGTTTTAGTTTAGAAAAAAATAATTCTACATTAACATCTTTTATCTTACAAAAGAAAAACAAACCATAATAACACCGGTGCTGTAGGTTCACCAACACTGGTCTAGAGTATGTGACTGTTTGGGGAACCCAGGTCAGGCTTATGTGCCTGGTAACATGGTAACATAACATAGTAGCTTTCTTCTTCTAGGAAAAAGATATGAGATCTTTTCTCTTGGCAACTACGTACGTTGGGGGATCTGGGAAGAATGTCCTCCGGATAGAAGGATTAGCTAGCCAGGGGCTAGGACCAGACTCCTGATCATCAGAAGAGCCCTGAGAAGAGAAATACGGGATAGTAAGATTCACCACCAGGGGACACTCCTACCTAGGCGTTCAGCACAGTTAACCTGTGAATGTCTCTGCTGTGACCTATGTGTGACCTATCCGTCGGTATGTGCAGACTCTCGAGTTCTAAGAGCTGAGATTTTGTGATTTTGCATACTTAGTTCCCTAATGCTGAGAGTTTGGGCATGATCCTGCAAGCTGCCAGGGAGAATATATACTACTGGGAAAAATAGGACTGTGGAGACTGATGTCATGTGCAAATTTTTGAAAACTCTCTGTCATATACTTTAGATTTGCACATGTACAAAACTTATGCAGATAGGTACTCAAATTACTTTTGTTTTAGAGTTATGGATTAAAAACTGGCGGTCAACTTAATACCAGCTGCGTTAAATCAGGGTGGTGCTGAGTGTAGATGGCCCACCTGAGGAAAGTTGCTTGCACAGAAAAAGAAACGAGAAGAGGAAGAGCATGGCATTGTGGGTTCCCCTAAGTGCTGTTGTTTGGAGCCACTGGTTCTCTGGAAGAGCTTGTCATATTAGTGCCTCTGATAAGAACTCAGCTGTTATCATTGGAGGCATTCGGGACCTTGTTGCCAAGAAAGGCTGCGGTCCATTTTGGGGGGGCTTTGGTCCTTACTTTTGAGCATCACTTCCTGGCTCCTGAAGGAAAGATGTATGCTAGTTAATCTCCAGGAGAAGTCTGTCATGCTGGCTTCCTGACACATACTCAGCTGTTCTCATTGTCAGAGGATCTCAGGACCTCAATGTCGCTGAGAATGACTGTGGTAGTTTTCAGGGAAGCCCGTGGTGCTTACTTTATCACTTCTTGGCTTTAGTACAGAACCCTCGTCCTGCTGGCATAGATCCTTTGCCCCACTGGCATAGACTTTGTAGCTCCCACTGCTGACCTCTGGGACTTCCCAGTGTGCAGATCCACGGGACAGACTTGCATTGGTCACTGCTGGAGGCTCTGGGTTTTCAGCTGAACTCATGCAGGTTATTGCCATGGGATCCAGGCCCACGGTTGGATTTTCTAGGTCTTTAGTGTTGGACAGATTTCTTGCACTTCTTGTATTTAATTAACTCTTGGGTGACTATTACAAAATAATACTATAGATGATCTGTATTGTATGTAATTATTTTTCTTGCAACCCCTAACTACAACATACACCTTTGTGAGAAACTAACAGTATGTATTTTTGTACATATACACATAGTTCTACTTTGAACTATTTGGGGTCATTTTACTATTATTGACTTCTAAATATTATTTAATAATATTGTTTAATTTCCAGGGTGTTTATTTTGTGAACAGCTGTTTTGTCTGCTACTAAAAAACCTATCAGTTTTAGCCATCACTTCTAGTCATCTACAAAGAGATGTGTAAGAGTGTATGTATGTATATATGGACACTGCACAATCATCTCTACATAGGTTTTTATTTATGTGGTACATTATGATTTCTTAATTTTTTGTCAAAATTCAGTTTGTCTGTCAGTATTTCCTTTGCATTTCTCCAAATTTGCTTTTCTCCTTAAAGTAGTATATATATTTTTTTCCGGTACCAGGGATCGAACTCACAACTGCGCACTTGCAAGGCAGGCACTTATGCCACTGAGCTAAATCCCCAGCCCCCATATAATTTTTTCTTTAATTTTTAGCTTTGACTGTCTTCCACTACAGACTTTTTAACTCCCTTGGTACCAGAGATAGGGCCTTTACCCTGAGCTGTATCCCCAACCCTTTTTTACTTTTTATTTGGAGAGAGGATCTCTCAAACTGAGAGATACTAAGTTGCCCAGACCTGGCTTGAACTTGTGATCCTCCTGCCTCAGTCTCCCAGAGTACTAGCAGCAGAGGTGTGTGTTATCATACCTGGCTATTATAGATACTTCTAAAGATAAACATCTTTTTTTTTTTTTTTTTTAAATCGGTACCAGGGATCAAACCCACGACTGCCTGCTTGCAAGGCAGGCGCTTATGCCGCTGAGCTGTAAACATCTTGGGGCTGGAGATTTAGCTCAGCGGCATAAGCGCCTGCCTTGCAAGCAGGCGGTCATGAGTTCGATCCCCGGTACCGATAAAAAAGGAAAAAAAAAAAAAAAAAAAAGGTAAACATCTTTTTTGTAAAATATGACTACACAAGCCTCATTCTGAAAGCTTGACAAATATTATTTTCATTTTCTTATTCACTGTGTAATATTTTCTAATTGTCATTATAATACCTTACTAGACCTAGCATTACTGTGTCACTGAGATCTAACCTCAGCCTAGAAGCATGAATTTTAGAGTGAACACTACCAGAAACCATAACGAGCTGGACAAGTAGAGATAGTTACCTAACTTCTCTACATGAGATTAGTCGTTAGAAACTGAGCTTCTAGATACAGGCTAGCGTCAAGTGGCCTGAGTTCAACTCTACTTCAAGATTTATTTAGCGTGGCCGGGGATATAGTTCAGCAGTGCAGTGCCCGTCTGGTAAATGCGTTAAATTCTGGGCGACCACAATGACAATGAAAGATTTATTTAGCCATGTGATCTGGGACACCTTATTAAAATTTTCTGTGCTTGTTTCCTTTCCAGAAAACCTGTAATCATAATACAGTAACTCTATTTCATGAGGTTAAAAGCCATTATGTTTTGCTTTCACTGTAATACACTAATGATACATGGGGGGAAAAAAGCTTGTAACATTTTAGATGATTTTAACTTATAAACTGATGCCATCATCAGTGGTTTCAGTATACCATCTGTCTCTTGCAGGAAAGGTTCAGGACTTCCATCTCTACAGTTTCATGGTGGTAAAACCTCTGAGTACAGGTTTTACCACTATTGCCATTCCACGTCTTACTGCCATTATGGCTTGGGGTTGCTGACACTCTTCCTCCTCAATCCCATTATGTCCCCAAAGGCATAGTAATTTATATGGCTAAACTGGGAAAGAGGAGCAAGCCCTTATTTGTCTTGTACCCTCACAGTTTCCCCATTTGGATGGTAAAATTTTACATGACTTTATGTGCAATACCCCGGAAAGGTCATTTATATAATGAACATTTGTACCAAAAGCTAACTTTGGAGCAGGCCATGTTCTAGATGCCTGGAATGCATTACAGAACAAGATAGGTCCTTAACCTCATCATTTCCTTTTCATTGAAAAGTCAGGATTGGGGCTGGGGATTTAGTTCAGCGGCATAAGCGCCTGCCTTGCAAGCAGGCAGTCGTGAGTTCGATCCCCGGTACCGATAAAAAGGAAAAAGACAACCCCCCCCCCCAAAAAAAAAGAAGAAGAAAAGTCAGGATCATAAAGATCTAGCTCCATTCGTGTTAGAACCTATCACCGTGATATTAGAATCTGGTAGAGAACACTCACCTCCCTCCATGGGTCCCTGTTCAGTTTTTAGCCTTCTCAACAATGGAGGTACAAATCATAGCCATAATTTACTTTGCCCCAGTGTTCTGGTCCCTCCTAGGCTGTACTACAAAAGCATCACATTCTCCCTGACCTACTGCTATTTCCTCTCCCCAATGCCATTTCTTCTTTTTCTCAGTAACTTCAATAGGAGTGACTCTTATGAGGTTTACTTCTGTAAATTATGACTCTTTTGCTTGTCAAATGTTTGACATTTATTGTGTGTGTAGGAAGTAGCATAGTATAATGACAGTAGACCTGATTTCCAGTCCCTACTTGGCTCTGAGTCACTGTGTAACTTTGAACACATACAAATTTCCCCATCTGGAATGTAAAGTGGAGTACTTAGGATCCCTAAGGATTTTTTTTTAACCTCTCCGATTCTGTGACTCTAGCTTTGTGTGACTGTGTTTGCATTCATGTTTGTTTATGAGAGAATTATGATGGAAGGAATTGACTTGGAAAGATAGAGATACCAGTCACAAGCAAGCAGCGGACAAGGAGTAGAAGAAAACACGAGCAGAAAACTAGTTGAGAAAAGGGTAAGGAAGCTGACATAACCACAAGGTCAGAAACTGACCAATCTTCTGTGAGGAGTACAGACCCAGAGAACAAATGAGACTTCCTGGCACACAGCTAAAGCTGTAAATGGCTTTTCAAGGCAAGTGAGTCAGGGAACAATGACCAAGAGATTACAAGGAGCCTTGGGGCTTTTAGGTGCTGAAAGGAAAATCTCAAGAAACCTACGGTTGCACGAGAACTCAGAAACAGAGTAGGAGTTGAGGTGAGATTCAAAAACAGTTCGTAGGGTTGAAGCACAAATGGTTCCGCAGCTTATGTACGCTATCTTCCAGGCCCACTCACTCGCATCTTCCCTGTGTGAGAAAGCAAAGAGGACTACCTCACTTCTGCCTGTAAGAAAGGCCACCACGCTTGCTAGTACTTGTATGTGTGCCCCTCAACAAGCACTAAATCCCTACACAGAAACCTGAAAAGTGCAGGCAAACACTAACCCTTGTCCCCCATAGTACATACCTGGCTGGGCCCAAAGCTTATAGCGGTTGAAGGACACATCTCAGGGTCACCTAATGCATCCAGAGAGGACCGCACCCGAAGAAAGGCCAGGCCGAAGGGCTGATGCCGTGTGAAGGGCTGAGAGCAGGTCAGACGAAGTCTATCCCATGATTCTCCAGAGGCTGGAGCCAGGAAATCATCTTGAGGGAAAAATAAAGAAAGTGAAGGAAAAAGGGAATGATTAACAGAGGGAGAAAGGAAGAGAAGCTCAACAATGAGGAAAGGAAAGTAACGAGAGAGGTGATACAGAGCAAACTCCAACCAAAGAATGGAGTCATTAGTAAACATTACCCTCAGGTTCAGGGATTGGTCATGCCAAGTAGGCCAGTCAGTGCCCTCACAGGCCCAGTGACTTTGCCTAGTGACACCACTCTTCCATCATGGTCCTGCATTGTTCCAAGCCTGGGGACATCCTACCTCTCCAAGGACCTCATCAATATCTCATTTTAACAAGAGGTACCTGCATTGCTGATGCCTGAGGAGACCACTTGCCCAGTGGATTAGCTGAGATACTGTCTCTTCCTGGACCACAAGACCTCAGTCTTCCTCATATGACCACATGGCCTACAGAGGTAGTGGCAGAAACCTATGGCACTGTGTTACTGTTTTTCTTTTAAGACAGAAGATGTTAAATATAGAGTTGGTTTTTGCTAAACTAAAACCTCAGTATTCAGGATTAATTGCAGTGTTGGTACTTTGAGATAAATTAGCAGGTTTTGGGTTGCAGTTTGGCACTTGGTCTCTAAAAGGTCCCCCATCACTACACTACATACTTGGTCACTCACTGCGGCAAACACCAGTATCACAATCTCTTCTCATCAACTTCTGACATTCTCGTCAGCACCTCATCCCCTCTACCTCACATACCCCTCCACCATTCTTCCCTCAAAAAATTACGAACTCCTCCCACTGAAACAGACAAATCTTTACTAGACTGTAAATCCCCAGAGACCAGGAACCAGCTCTTATGTTTCTGTGCCCAGTAAGATTAGAGATTGTTCCATCAAAGCATAAGTTATAGATAAATATAATTCATAGCTTATCAATATCCTGAACCATCACACATTCTTATCATGCAGAACTCACAGACTACTAACTACCCTATTCCCATAACAGATATAACGGAGCCCTTGTACTGTAGGCAGCTGAGTTAGGTACAAATATTACAGGCGGTCAGACAGAGCTAGCCCTTGAGGGAGCCCATGCAAAAGAGAACATGTTACAACTGTGCCTGGAGGTAGGTCTGTTGAAAGTTAGGCCTCAAAATAAAGAGGCAATGACCAGGCCTATGTACCTCCCTGAAAGATACAATAACTTGAGATTATACTATAATTGGTATCACCTGGTCCTGTAAAGTTCAGATAGACATCAGTCACTCAGGTGGATGACCAGAGCATCTGGACCTATCCCTTCCCAAAAATGCCTTTGTTCTTTTTAGGCACCCTTGTTATGTGACCTGCTTCCCTAATACATCAATATTACTTAAGCAGCTATCCTTATAATCATACAGGTTGATTATAGGTTGATCCAAGTTGAACTCACCTTGTGATTTGGTACTCACTTTGTGATCTTGCTGTATAAAGCATTCCTAGAGAAGTGACTTCTGTAGAACCCACTTATGGGATCCCTCCTGTCTCTCATGAGCTACCTATCTCCTAATAAATCTTTCCTACTTTTAACCTTCATAGTTTCTTGGAATTCATTCTTCAATTTCAGGGGACACAAGTTCAGCATATCTGACATCTAGCCGGGATGCCTTTCCACAATCCACACCCAATGTCAATTACAGTCCTGTCTAGTACTGTATCTTTTTTTTTTTTTTTTCTCAGAAACATCCCCTGCTTCTGCCCTCTTTACCATCTTTAAACATTCGGACTCCCGAACGGTTCTTTCCTTGCTTTGAATCAGTGAGGGACATTAGCATGGTCGCAGGGAGCAGGGTGACGAAAGGTCTATCCAGAGACCAGGATGATCGGCCCACATCAATTTGCAGGAAAGCACAGCCACAGTTACCTGGGGACAAAAGGTTGAAGAAAGAAAAGGATGATGGGATGGTTGAAGACAGGGAAGGAAGAGAGGGTAGGAAGAGGACATCCCTCCACTCTAGAATTAGATGGAAGCCAAGAAAGTCTCAAATTATGTGGAGTTGCCCAAGGAACTGGTAACTGAAATGGGAGGAGACTCAGCCCCCTGTGAATATGCAAAGATTCATCATGACCTCCTACCTTGAAACCTTCCCTAACTGAAGAGACTCCCTGTTCTTTCTATGCTCAGGCCGTTAAGACAGAGATAAATTCTCTGTTCTCAGGAGCTCAACATCTTTTTGTCCTAAGAAAGCTGAGACCAGCAGTTCTCAAAAGTTACCCACCGCAGAGAAGTCATTTTTCGGTAGAAGGGAACAGCAATCCTGTGTCCTCCATTAGCGGCTCCCAGGTTCCAGAGCACTCACTCACCTACGTCAATATAGCTAATGGGCACTGCCCTCTCCAGCTGCAGCTCCACTTTCAGTTGCCCACTCTTGTCCTGAGGACAGCTGAGCCAAGGTCCCCTCTGACTGTCTGGGGTCAGCAAGTTCTCCACAGGATATTTGGGATCCTAAGTCAGAGAGAAGGGAGAAAAAAGAAAAAAAAAAATCAGGAATCTTACAGAGTATGTGTGTGGGGGAGAGATATCCATGAATAAGGGATCTATAAAATCCCAAACTTTTTAAGGCATCCTAACATAATGGAAAGACACGGATGGGAATCCACAGGAACCCAGGAATCTGGTGCCAAGTGCTTATTACAGAAGGCATTTCCAATCCTGACCTCATTTACTGGAGTACTTCATTTAATCCTCACGATGACTCTTAGACGGTTACTATGGCTATTTCTTAGTTAACAGATCAGTGACTAAAGCTTAGGAAAGTTCTGAAACCTACCCCCGGCCAAACCAAATAACCAACCAAAGCACAATTGCTAGGTCTCTGAAATAAGACTTTTTTTTTGAGACAGGGTCTCACTATGCAATTTGGGCTGGCCCTGAGCTCACTTCGTAGCTCAGGTTGGTCTTGACTTCACAACAATCCTCCTGCCTCAGCCTCCTGAGTGCTGGAATTATAGGGGTGTGCCACCATGCCCGGCCTGAGATTTTAACACATACTATATTAATGTGTTTTCATTTATAAAATGTTTGAAAATGAATAGTGATTTTTTAAAATATAAAAATGTAACTTTATTGAACATAGAAATATATGGATTTTCAAATTAATTATTTTTTCTTTATGGTGATGAATAGCTATCTGATACTTTGTAGGACTTACTAACTGGTACTATATGAAGATGCTTGCCACTATTATTTTATTTCTATACTCAAACAAATACATTTAAATCTAGATAGAAACATTTGTTATTGGCTTACTAGTGCATGATAATTCTTGGTATTTGCACTGCTCAGGCTGATAACGGAGGATCATCTGTTTTATAACAAACTGGAAGCATAGACACAAATTTTATACAAAAGTTCAGTTTACTCTTACCCTTGTATTAGTAGGAGCTGACATCTGTAACTCACAGGCAAGCAAATACTTTTTTATTTTTCTACTTCCTAACTGAACAAAAATACACATAATGTATTGTTTTCATTAAGCAAGACTTGATTTTTTATTTCAATGAGAATGCTATATAAACCTTTCTTGAACAAAATGACCAGGGTACTAATGAAACCACCTTTGGAGGAAATGTTTAATATGCATATTGTATTTAAATAAATTCATCAAAAAAAATATTGAGAATTCATTGCCTTTACTTTGAAGCCTTTGTAGTTATCTGTCAAATTTATATGTGTGGCTTACCAGCATCCCCTTATTGGAAATACCGGTATTTGCATATCGTAATTCTCAGAATGATTTAAAAGTCTCAAAATGCTGTGTCTCTTTTGGCTTGCTTCTTTCAAGTCCATCCAGGCTTTACTAATGCTTCACTTCTTATTATCATCTCCATCCTATAAATTTTCTTTAGAACATTTATTAGTCCCTCCCTAGGCTCTTTCTCAGCATCATAGGATGGCTTTTCTTTTTCTTTGTACTCTTTCTCAACCTGAGGTAAGTAATCCCACTGCGTGTTTTCTACTTTCTATATAAGAACTGTATTGTTCTGATTTTTTTTAACTGCCTTCCACAGAGATGGGTTTTGAGACATTGTTCACAATCATAGAGTAACTCTTCCCATTTAGATTTTTTTTTGTCTTTTTGAGACAGGGTCTCACTATGCAGTTCAGGCTGGTCTTGATCTCACTTTGTAGCCCAGGCTAGTCTTGAACGCAAAACGATCCTCCTGCCTCAGCCTCCTGAGTGCTGGGATTACAGGCATGAGCCACCACACCTGGCTCCCATTTAGATTTAGATTAAATGACCTCTCTGTGAAATACACCTATACATTCTCAACAAGAACTTGGTCCACTCCAGTTAAGGTAATGTAGATTTTTACAAACTTATCTGACCAATCTTATCCATAATTACTGATTTTCACTGCATGTCTTATTGCAATGAAAACAACCAAAGCAGCTGGTTTTACACTGTCAGGAATTTCTGGTTTCTTTTGTGATTTTTGTTGCATTTTATTCTTTATTTGTTTCAATCCTGGATTTTTCAGCTGTCAGGACATCATGTACTTTCTTCCTACTGGCCTTTTCCATCAACATTTTTAACTCTTCTAGATCATTCTGCAACCCTTCCAAACTGAAGGCATGGTCAGACCAAAGGCCCAAGCTGCAGGCATGTACACAGGGACAGGAATGCTAGGCCCAGTGTGCTCATGGTGAGTATGGAGCTCACCAGCCAGTAGTGATATTAATACAGGAAAAATATGACTCCCAACTTGTTAGATGCCTAAAGTGCCAAGCTCTTGGTTTCACAACATCAAAGGATGAAGTGGTGAACCAAAGGAGGAAGATAGGAAAGTTTTATTGGAAATAAAAGAAACAAGAATAGCTTCTGGATTTCCTCTCACTGAGGCCCTCTGTCATGGCTAGTTTTTACAGCCCAGTCACAACATGGGTCAAACTACAATCAACCTATAGGATTATAAGTATAGCTGCTTAGCTAATATTGATCCAATAAGGAAAATGAGTCACATAGATGGAAAGAACAAAAGAATTGTTAGAAAGGGAGAGGAGAATGGGTCCAGGTATTCTGGTCATCTACCTGTGTGTCTGATGCCTCTCTGGGCCCACTGGACCAGCTGGTACTAATTATAGTATAATCTCAAATTGCTGTTTATCTCATAGGTCTGGCAATTACATCTCCCTCCTGAAGCCTGGTTCTCTTCAGATTTGCCTCTGGGCATAATTCTGATGTCTATTTATTTATATATCGCTGACTTAAGGGCCCAATCCTTCTCTTACTGTATGCTACTTTCTAGCTAACGTAGTTGTTTATAATAATATTGAGAGATGTTTTCAAACTATGTTTGTTTCAACAATAAAATCTTTCTTTTTATTTTTTTATTTTTTATTTTTTTGGTACTGGGGATAGAACTCAAAACCTCACACTTGCCAGGCAGGTACTTATACTGCTAAGCTAAATCCCTGGCCCACTCTTTCTAACTGAAAATTTTTTATTTCAACCATGAAAAGCACAGCTTTGGTTAAAGAACAGGGTAGGGAGGTAGCTGGAGAAATACTTGTCCTTATCTCTTTTTCAAATTCTGGAAGTTGGTTCTCACACAGTGTACAGTTTGAAAACCATGATGTTAGAAGATAGCTAATAGGGGCTGGAGGTTTAGCTCAGTGGCATAAGCACCTGCCTTGCAAGCAGGCAGTCGTGAGTTCGATCCCCGGTATCGATAAAAAGGAAAAAGACAAAAAAAAAAAAAAAAAAGAAGATAGCTAATATTCTCTAGCATTTTACAAGGCCAAGAGTTTATGAAGAAAACTGTGCAAGCCAGGCAAAATGGTGCATTCCTACAAGCCTAGCCCTCTGGGAGACTGGTATAGGTGGATGGCAAGTTTGAGCCCAGCATGAGCAATTTAGTGAGACCCTGTCTCAAAAAAAACAAAAACAAAAACAAACAAAAAAAGACTTCTGATGTAGCACAGGGCAATCCCATGCAGAGTAAGTATAATTCTTACTTTACTTCATTTATAAGAGAGGTTCATATAGTGGTTCCTAAAGTCCCTCTGAAGGTCTTTCTGAAATGTATGGTGATGGTTTTGACTTTCATAATGACTAAGAAGCAATATTGTCATTGGAACTCTGGGGCCGGGGTATTATTCTACATCGCACCTTCCAAATGATATTGCCCTCAAAAGTCCAATGGCATCCCTTGAAAAAGACCAAGGGAAGAGAAAAGAGGAGGGGACAACAGATGCAGCAAAGACAGTGGAGAAAAGAATCCCTACCTGATCAGCCCTGGGCCGAGGGCTTAGGACTCGTTAAAAGAGGAATGACCGAAACTTTTAGGGAGGATAAGGTCACTTTTAATGGTGGTTTTGACATCCTCACAGGTCACAGATGACCTTGCAGGTCCTGCTTTGCTCTCAAGGAGTGACTAGACCTTCCTTCCGGAACTCTTGTACAGATTCTGGGCCTAGGGACCTGCTAGCTCCCTTCAAACCATGGGTGGAATCCTGAGGGTGCTTCTATACCTTCAACTCCTGGGAATACTTCCTATGTGCTCTCAGCATTTTTCTGGGAAGAATTCAAAGGCAAGGAATGTTTTTCTCTTTAGATTTGGGAGCCTCAGAGGAGACACAATGGCCTTTTTATGAGACTGGGAGTTTTCCTGCAAGTGGAACCAAGGCTCTAACTTTTTTTCATTTCTTTTAGTCATCAAGAAAAAACTCATGCCTGTGGATTAACATACCTGAGAAGAAAATGATACCACGTGGCTGATCTTTACAGGAGCCATGACAGGTCTACCAGCTATCCCAAGTGCAGGGCAAAATGCTTTCTCCCAGGATTTCTTCTGTTACCACTTTGGCGCAGCCAATGTTTCACTCATCAGTTTACAGAACAAAAGTATTTACATTACTCCTGAAAAAGTACAAAAGAAAAATTCTTATCTGGACATGGTAGTTCACGCTCCTGCTCTTAGGAGGCTGAGGCAGGAAGATCACTTTGAGTTTGAGACCAGTCTGGTCTACATAGTGAGTTCAATTACACAGCGAGACTCACTCTCACTCTCTCTCTCTCAAAACCAAAACCCACAAACTACTTCTGACTATTCCTCTGATAATAGGAGTTATTTGTAGTTGTTGGCCTCTCTCTCTCTTTTTTTTTTTTTTGGTACTGGGAACCGAACTCAGGACCTTGCACTTGCCAGACAGGCACTCTCTTTCTTTCTTTGGTGTCTCTTTTTTTCTCCTTCCCTTTCCTTTTTCCTGTATTCCTTTCTATGTTAGTGGAGATCAGACCCATGGCCTCAAGGCCATGGTACATGTAGCCATGAGCTACATCCCTAGCTTCCAGACCATTACTGATGACCACCATGGGCCTGATGTACAAGTGTGATGGACAGGGAATAATCTAGTGTACCTAATGACTCCAAAGAATGTGAAGCAACTGGAATCCAATCTCAAAGCAAAAGGAACAGAGCAGCAAGTATAAAATATATTAATATGTTAATATTGGATTTGTATGTAGGTGATCTCTGAAGAGCATGAATTGCACCTTAAATTCCTCATCTTTAGATCCCTAGAGACCAGCACATAGAAAGGATGGGCAGCAAATATTTGATTAGGTATGCAATACTACTCTCTTTTGTTCTGTTTAATGAATCATTTTAAACTAACTTTTGATTAGGTTACTGCTCTATTATAAATCTTCAATGACTTATTGATGTAAAATCCCTAGGGGCTGGGGATTTAGCTCAGCAGCATAAGCGCTTGCCTTGCAAGCAAGGCAGTCGTGAGTTCGATCCCTGGTACCAATAAAAGCGAAAAAGAAAAAAAAAAATCCCTTGCTAACGGGTAATACTTAAATATTCATTGAGCTTGGCCCCTAGGACAGAGAGGTTTACTCTGGCTCACAGTTTTGGAGGATTTAATCTGTGGTAGCAGGCTCCAAGGCAGAAACACCATGAGGAGGAGCGTGGTAGAGCACAGATAATCAGCTTATGGCTTTGGGGATACAGAGGAGTGAACACTGCCAAAAAGGAAGGGACAATGGACTTGACAAAGCCCTCGAGGCCACACCTTCATGACCCACCCAAACCCCCCAGAAATGTGCTCCACCAATCTCTAGGGTGGAGCTCAAAATCAATCAAATTGATATCCCACCCTAACTGCTACAATGCGTTCGCAAATATTTCAAAATCTGGAAAACAACAAAACAAAACTGAAATACTCCTGGTCCCAAATATTTCAGATAAGGGATATTTCACCTGTATCTGTTTGTTGTTCGATGCGACAATTTTTGCCATCTCTCATCACCAACAAACAGATGTCTGATTTAGCCAGTCCCTAAATTACATTCTTGGCTTTGTGAGTCTCTATAAGTGTTAATTGTGGATATTTAATTTAGTTAATATGTTTAGGAATTGTCTAGTAGGTACTAGAATTGTAGTAAGTGCTGGATACACAGGGGTGAATATACACACAAACATTTCTATAAAATTCATCTTCTGTCAAATTACTTATAGTTCACCAGGGATTAAATTCTTTAGAACATCTTTGCCCTAACAAAAGCTGTTGCTCTTGATTTTTGGTGATTGTCCCATGTTCCTCCTTGTTATATACTGAGTATACTCAGTATACTGTTATATACTGAGGAGATTTTTGAGACTATGGATCCTTATCATGCTCATCTTTTCCTACACCTCAGACATGGTCTGAAACACAGTGAGCATTAATAAATATCCACTGACAGAGTTGTCTATAATCCAGTTCAGAATTTCAGTTTCTGGCAAACATGACAAATTCATCAACAAATAATATGTTACAAACTGCTAAGACAATTCTAAAAAGAAAGTTCCCAGAGTGAGGGTATCAAATTCTTTGAAAAAATTATTTTTATATAATTAAAACATACTGTCTATAAAAGCTAGTAAATAGATTCTAGAAAGACTCATCGATAGGAATTATTAAATTAATTATGTTAATTATAAAGTAGCACAGGATCATGATTCTGTCAAAAAAGATGAGTAGATGGTGTTCAGAAAGTAGTTGACAATATGAAGAAAAATGAAAGTAGACCCTACTTTGTAATTTGTAATATATTTAAAAGTATACCTGAATGGATTAAAACATGAATAACAATACTTGAAGGTAACATAAGCCAGGTTAAAATACAAATGGCTAAATGAAAAAAGGATACTTATTCAAAATTCATATTTTTAAAAACTACAAGTCAATAAGAAAAGGGCCAGCAAACCATAAAACACTGGGGAGAAGACATAAACACACGATTCACATAAGATGTGATCTGAATGAGCAAAAACTCATAAAAAATTCTCAGCCTGCCTGATAAAAAGGAAACTACAAATGCCATTTCTTATATCTAAGACTGTTAAAAGATTGGTAATGGCAACAGGGTGGGAAAATAGGTATCTTCTTAAACACTTTCGGCACATCACAAATCTAGCTACAATTCAAGACTATAATAATTAATCAGAGGGTTGATAGCTAACTTATTCAACAGAAATAGTTGTTTAATCTAAAGCTCCTGATGTACATAAAAGGACACAGACAGTACTTCTGTTATAAAAACAACCACCCCACAAAACTGTAATGTTCACTCATAAATATGACTAAAGAAAATCTTAAATATCATATAATAAACTACTGCAGAGTCAAGTGCAGTGACGCATGACAGCACTGGGAGGCTGAGGCAGGACTGTTGTGAGCTCCAGCCTAAACTAAAGACAGAGAGACCTCGTCTCCAAAAATTAACCAACCAAACACTGCTGTATAACCTTTAGGAATGAATCGATGTAAATATACATAAACATAACTAGGTCTCAGAAATATACTGAAAGAATTAAATTATGGAACAATATGTAGAAAATACAATTTATGTTCATTAAAAAACAAAATAAAAGGTTGAGGTGTAGATTAATGCTACAGCATTTGCCTAGCATGGGCAGGGTCCTGGGTTTGATCTTCATTATTATGAAACACACACGTCTATGAAAGAAACAACGCTATACTATCAATTATTATCTGTATTATATCTTTTAAAAAATGAGGCAAATAGATGATATAAACAGTCAATCTGCGATGACAGGATTACAGTATTTATAATGTTCTGTAAGAAGTTTCATATAATAATTTGTTGTTGTTTTAAGTAAACGCCAGGTCTGTAGATGGTATAAATAGTACTGCCACTTCCGGTTGGCCACTAAATAAAGTTAACTGGCATTCTAGGATTCTGTGAACCAACAGGTGACACTGGTCCTATTCACTAGGTAGGTCCAGCCCAGGGTAAGTGAAAAGCAGCTACAAGCTTGTCTGGTACTTAAGTCAGATGTACAAAGAAAAGGGTGCAGAAAATAAGTTACTGAGGTAGAAGAGGGGATGTGGCAAAAGAATAAGGCGAAGGATGCGGGGAAGAAAAGAGTACCGTGATGTGTGGAGAGGCTAGACAGTTTAAGAAAAAAGCAATCTGGAGGCTGTCCAGGTGCCACGCGGCTCCTCTGCTCTCTGTTGCTCAGAGGCTGAAGACCCTTACAGCTCTGTTCACCTCCCTGATGGCCACCGCTTCTCACTTTCGGCCACTCCTCTATCAACCAACAACCCTCTAAGCTTCTCACCCAGGACACTAAAGATCAAAGAATCATGGATGTCTCAAATCGGGACCACAAACATTCTCCCGCCAAATCCGCCCTCTGACCTCTGTCATCTGACCCTGGAGTGCCACTCTCCGCCTTCCGAAGTGCAGGAATTCTTTCTGGGATCTAAAGAAGGTACCGTTCTGAAAAATGAGTCCCATACAGGCAAGAAAGCAGGCGCTACAGCTAGAAAACTACATGTGGAATCTTTTTTTCTTGGGGAGGAATATATTTTCACTCACTACAACTCTTCGGTCAAGAGAGCTGAATTTAAACTTCCAGGTCACATTCAGTGCAGCGTGGGAAATGTAGTCGCTAATCCCCACGCTTACTCCTTGGAACCCACGTGAGGGAGTGTCGCAAAAGTTCTCATTTAGGGACTTTCCTGTTTGGCTTTCCAAACGGAGGAATTGGGGAAATATTTGCACAAAAGTAATTGAAGCCAAATTTTCCATTACCTAAGTACCTCCCCTGCTGCAGCTTGTAAGTACACAGAATCCTCCCTTCTTTAACACTGAAGCGAGTAGGAAGTAGACGGTCTCTTGGTCCTGACAGATCTCCGCCAATCTCGATGCTCCACCCCCTCTGCTGGAGTCCGCCTCACCGATTGGCTAGAAACCCTTGAGCGGCGGAAGCAGCTGGCTAGCGCGGGGACGTGGGGAGGGGGCGAGCCTTGAAGATGGCGGCAGTGGTGGAGGTGGATGTTGGAGGAGGTGCTGCTGCGGAACAGGAGTTAGATGAGGTAAGGAGACTAGGAAAGGGGAGACCCAGCCTGAAAATGAAGCAGGGAAAGTGAGTTATTGGGAAAGGGAGTTATAGGAAAGATGGGAAGCACCTTGATAGGGAAGAAGGAGGTGACTGGGGCGCGGGTCGAAGGACTCCTGACTCGGGGACTTGGTGGCAGTCACTGGAGTAATGTTGCAGTGTTCTCAGGGGTGGGGATGGAGGACAGGGAGGATGCTGCAGAAGTTGGAGTGTTAAAATTTTGAGATATTAGCTGGGGGTCTAGGGTAGGAATTCAGGGCTGTCAGGTAGTTTAAGAGTTGGAGGGGCGTGGACTTCTGCGAGGCAAGGCCGGGTTTTCACTTTGGGAGAGGACTGTAAGCTTGCAGTACAGATCGAGGGTTCAGATTTGGAAAGTGCTAATCTACTAGAATTACAGCTTTGACTTATTTTTACGTAGGAACTATTTTATTGTTTAACCTCGCATTTTAGGACTTGGTACAATAATATATATTCAGTAAAGTTTTGGTCAACTAAAGAACGAATGACTTATTGTATACCGGAAATCATGTAATCACTCATTTAACAAATATTAAATATCATCTTTTCATTGGGTCCTGGGCTAGATGCTAAGGACAGAAGAGATCTCCTTGTTGAGACCACGGTATAGTGTGTGACAGACAAGATGACTAGTTACAGTACCAGGGTAGAATGGTGGCACTAAAAATTTGGATTAGGGAAGTCATCCTAGACTTGTTGAATCTAAAAGGATAAATGATAGATTATTTTTTATTTATACATTTACTTTTTATTTTGACACAGGGCCTCACTAATTGTCCCAGGCAGGACTTGAACTTGAGGTCCATCTGCTTCCACTCTGCCCAGCTTGTTAGTCATAAGCTACTGTTTCTCTGTCTCTCCATCTGTGTCTGTGTCTGGCTGTGCCTGAGTCTGTGTCTGTGTCTATCTGCTGTCATTTTTTATTTCCTTGAAAAGTGAACTTTGAAAGTGTTCTAATAGCATTTACCTGTTTAATAGGCATTTCACGACTGGTATATTGAATTACCAGTGGTTTTTGAAGGACTGCTGGGAAGAAGGAGCCACTGAATTTGAAAAGAGGGCTGAGAGGCAGTGAGAAAAGATGAGAAAGAAAAGGGGAAAAGATTCTGAGGCCTAAGGGACCATGAGAATTAGAGTTGCTTGTGGTCTTTAAGTCGACAGCATGTGGGTAAAGACTGTATGGAGGGATTGGAAGATGATTGACAGGGGTGGAACCAGTGCAACCTCTGAGAGGTCAGAATCTTAGAGGCACCTGTTTGGTGTTTGGTGGCAGAAAGAGTTGGGAGAATTGATGATGAAACTTGGAGAAAGAAGATGAACTGGGAAACAAAGACTATTATTTGGTAGTGGGTTAGCTTGGTTGGTTTGAATGTTTGGGATCATCAGAGTGAAGGGAGAGGACTGAGAAACTGACAGGTGGTTGAAGCACAGGGGAATTTAGCACTGTATCTCCCAGTTACTAGAGACTAGAGGTGTTTGGGTATTGGTTGGTGAGGTGGGGTGGTTGTGGAAATGACCTCCAGCTTTAAGTTTCTGTTATTACATTTGGCTGTGGTTCAATAAGATTTTTATGGTTGTTTTTGAGTACCAGAAATCAAACTTAGGACCTCATGCAGCCAGGTGCTGCTCCACTGAGCTAAATCCCTGGCCCCAATCAGATATTTTGAAAGCACCTTGAAAAGAATAAATGCTGTGTTGAAGTTATTATTTATGGTTTGTTAGTTGTGGGGTTTCTTTTAGATGATAACGTTTGTCTCTTTCAAAGAGAGATTTAGTTACATATATCAGGGTTCACTGCGATAAAGAACAAAAGTTTTGAAGGAGAAAAAGGAAAATTTTTATCTAAGACATTTTTGATTTTTGCTTCTTAGTTTTTTTAATGTATTGTTTTAAAGACTTAAGAGTATATTTTCCTGAGTGTGCTATCTAGAGGTCAACTTTATATGAAACAGCTGGCATTCATCTAGATATCTTATTTTATTCTTTGAGAAAGAATATAATCTATTGTCTGGAAATTCTGTAGGAACTCGTTCTGTCCTTCTTTCTGTGTATTTAAGAAAGTAACTCTGGGAAGCAGAAACAGTTATCCCCTTTAGTCTGAAAGAATGGAAGTCTGCAGATCCTTAAGTTGTGTGTGCAAGTTCCCCCTAATGTTTCCCTACGTATTTCTATTTACTCTTTTGTAGTGAAAGAGAAGGCAAAAATCAGTCATTTAATATGGAATTAAGGGGATCTATTGTGTGTCATGTATTGTGAATTCAAAGATGAGCAACATAGGATCGTTCCGGGTTTGTAATCCAGTGAGCATAAGCTTGAGACATTCCTAGGTAAATGGATGCACCTCAAGACCATATGCTTAAGTGAAATAAATAGGACACACTTGTGTGAATACCACATTGTTTCTCTGATATGAGAAACTAAAAGTGTATGTATAATAGGTATTATGAAATAGAAAGAAAATGTTCAAGTGAAGAGGGGAGCAGGATGGGAGGGGGAGGAAGAAAGAAAAGAAAAGTTAAAACAAAAATTAAGGAAAAAATGGAAACAAAGGTTTGGTAAATGGAGAGGAAAAGGGGTTGAAGGGAGGGTAGGGGAATGGTCAAATAAAAAGAATCAAGTTATATCATGTGCAGGTAAATAGTCTCTGATGAATGTGATAGTCTCTGATGAATGTGATTATTATGTATATCTAAAAATGTACCAATAAAATTGAAGAAAAAAAAAAGATAAGGTGGGCTTGAGCTGAAAAATTAAAGATGAAGTCTACAAAAATGCAGTGATTTGCATGTGACATCCCAGTTGCCTCGGTGTTGCACTTTCTGCTTGATTGATAGACCCTACTGTGGAGCCTAGGTTATGAGTAGTGAGTAGCCTAGCTATATGGGGTTGGTGTACTTTTTACCTGCTTTGAAAAGAATGCACAGTACTGTAATGTGTTCTTCAGCATACTATACTTGTATTTTCCAAAATCAGATGTTACTGTGAAACAGTCTGAGGGGAATCCATTTTTCTTTCCTTTTAGGGAGGCTGGTTTCATTGTCACTTTCTTAAGAGATAATTTACGCATTGCTAGTAGCTTCTACTTTGGAGAGGTGACTAGAAAAAAGGGTTTAGGAAAGAGCTGCTGTATAAAATGCTGCTTGGCTTGGTAATGCATTCCTGTAATCCTAGCTCTGTGGCACTGAGGCAGAAGGGTGCTAAGTTTGAGCCCAGTCTGGGCAGTGTGGGCAATGTGGTGACTTAATGAGACCCTATCACAAAAAGCAAAAAAAGAAACAAAGGAACTGGTTGCGAAGGCCCTGGGTTTGATTCCCCGTGAAAGAGAATGAGAGAGAGATTGAGTCCTGCCATAAACAAGAGATACAGCAACTGTATGAGTTAGATGGTGTTGACTCCGTCTGGTACCCGAGGAAGCTGAAGCTAGTAAAGTTAAAACAACTTGCTCAGGATTTTACATTTGTGAGGAAGGTAGCACGGATTCAGACCCAGTTGTGCGGGTGTTGTGCTGAAACCCTTGTTTCCATTTCTAACTCCACTATTTGTGCTGTAGGGTTAGGTAATTTAAAATTGTATGCTCTTGATTATCTCATGTAAACACTGGTACAGTATATTTAATTGAGATTGAGGATGTTTGAACCTTGAATTTTTTTTGTTTGTTTTTTTGAGACAAGCCTTGTCTGTTGTAGTTCAGGCTGGCCTTGGACTCTCTTTGTAGCCCACCCTTGTCCCAAACTCACAATGAGTCTCCTGCCTCAGTCTCCTGAGTGCTAGGATTACAAGCTTGTACCATCCTGCCTGTCCTCAAGAACCTCAAATTCTTGAGGTTCTCTTTACTACTCCCTAATTATAGTTGAAGAACTGAGATTCCTAGGATTCTGAGATGTGTAAGGGTCTGCAAACTACTAAGAGGTGTCCACATTTCCAGATTCTAAGGTGTTGGTCACCCCTCAGTTTAAAAATCCACACTGTAGACTCATTTTACCAGTGTAAACTGCCCTTTATGTGTAAAGTCCTCTTTCCAAAACATGAAGTGGCACTTACTCCTGAAGCATCAAAATGGAGGCTGCAGCACAGGTGCCATAGGTTCACTACCATTGCTGTAGGTCATTTGAAGCCACAGTTGGAAACCTAAAGAACTAAGTAGGTTGATAACAGACACCTATAATCCCATCTACAGGGAAGGCTGAGGCAGGAAGAGCACAAGCTTGAGCCTAGCTGGGGTGACTTAGACCCTGGCTCAAAATAAAATTTGTAAAAGGGTAGAGGTAGAGCACTCGTGGGGCACACACAAGGACCCATATGGGTTCCATCCCCAGCACTGCAGACAAACAAACAAAACAAGCCCCCTGATCAAGTAACTCTGCTTTCGTTTCTTCAGTGCCCTCTGTTCTTCCCCTACCAAACATTATTGTAATTGTCTGTCTTTTTCACTGGCCAGTGGTGAATCTGTGGCACACAAGTTATTGTGTTTTTCTCTCAAGGCAAAGGATGTAAATGTAATTTTTTTTTTTGTAAACCTCCATATTCAGATTTATTACAGCACTGGTTGTTTGCGATAAATGGGTTTGGGTTGTGGTTTGGTACTTGGTCTCTAAAAGGTTCACCATTACTCTGGACTCATCTTCATGAGAGACCAAAGTTGAAGTCTATCTTGCTCATTGTTGTATTCTCTTATTCAAAATGTACATGTGCTAGGCTATGCATAGGCTAGGTAATTACTGTCTTTAACTAATAACAGCAGCTTTAATTCAGTGAATGTTTATGGTACATTGACTCATGCTTGATGGTATATGCTTTTTAGTGAATGTTTATAGCATCTCTGTGATAACTGAACTGTTGGTCTAAATCATGTTTCAGGCTCTTTTTTTTTTTTTTTTTTTTAGAGCTAGTTTGTTTTCTTCTTTTTTTTTTATTTAAGAGGAAAAAGAGAAAAACACAAAACAAAACAAAGCGTTGTAA